CTCTAAAATGAGCTAGGAAGCTTCAATCGAACTTTTGAAACGGTCAAAATTTATTAAAATTTGACAAGGAATTCAAAAAAAATATTTTCAAATTTTTTCACCGGAACCATCGGGTTCTAGGAACCATTTTTTGTTAAAAATAGCATTTTTCGGCCCTAGAAGCTATCGCCTTCAATTAAAAAATCTGAAAAAATTTGAGATTACGTATTTTGATGAAAAAAACAAGAAAAAATTTTTTTCAGATTTTTCGAGGCTCCGTACTGTCCTAAAAAAATTATTTTCGTCAAAAAAATCGGTTTTTGGCTTCAAAAGGTGCGTTAGGTAATCTGAAAAAATCTGAAAAAAATTGAGGTTATGTTTTTTAATGCGAAAAATAACTGAAAAAATTTCCGAGTACTACATCGGCTCATACCGCCGTATCTCGATTTTTGAAATTTTCAATAATTTTTTCTGAAGGCCTGAAGCACTCAAAAAATCTGAAAAAATTCAAGGTTGTTTGGATTGTGGAAAAGTATTTTTATGAATTTTTTCAGATTTTTTACTTGCTTCATGTCCTCAGAAAAAATATAGATCGAAAATGGACGTTTATACCGGAAGTGGGGGGTAGGAGGGGGGAGGGGGTCTAAAAATTTTTTTTTGGGACCTTTTTACCATGTACTATAACATACCAAAAGCGCGTCAAGATCGGTGACATACGTGCGCACGGTTTTGTAAAAAAGTATTATTTTGACCCATATATATATAATAAACGTGTAAAGTTTATGCTCGAGCGAGCCAACGAATTCCATATATAGGTCTTTGCTGTGCCTAGCAGCGGGAGACGCGGAACGTATTATTTAATATACGGCAGTGTGATGCCACTCAGCAAAACTACTCCTCGTGCGCACACGCTGTATACACACACACGCAAACGATCTTGTTAAACGCCTGGCACGCGCACCTGTACTTACGTGTATACGAGCTAGCAAAGCACATGACGTATATTTTTTATTGAGCGGCTCGCCTGGCGCTCGTATGTTTGTGTGTTGCTGATTGCGACACGATGCAAAAGTGAAAATAAAAAACGAAAATGGAGAAAACGAACGAATAAAGAAAAAAAAAAAGAGGAAAATACACTCGCGAACGGAGTAATAACGCGTCTCCCTCGCCAAAAGTATAACAAACGAAGTACGCAACTTTCTTTCGTTGATGAAATTGCGCATCGTGTAAAAATCATGCGCGAAAGACGCGGAAAAGTGCACTATATCCCCCCGGCCTTATATGTACATAACATTGTATATATGTATAAATGCATAAACGCGAATCTTATCAGAGCGAGAGAAAGTTGATTGAAATGAAATTCAACGAGCAGGCGTATACGGCTCTGGAGCAGCGAGCTCGGGCTTTTCCCTCCGACGCCGCCGCCGCCGCCGCTCGCGCACAGATTTGCATTATATACCACCACTACTACTACGCGCGTAGAGCTTTAAAATGTTGGACTACTACTCATCGAGATAGGAAGAGCGACTATATTATAGTTGAGACAAAGCAGTTTCGCATTTATATACGTATATATTATATTAAAGTTGCGGCTAAAAAATAAAAGAGGTAAGCAAGGCATTAATGGCGAGTATATCTGATGACGTTTTCCACGAGAGCCGCCCGCTGAAAGGACACGTCACCGAGACTTAACGAATTTTTGCTTATTCGCTTGGGTGCATCATTATTACGCTCTTAGAGAGGAAATAAATGTTTTTTAAAAAATATGAAATATGTGGAATAAACAGACTCAAACGATATTATTGAAATGTTTGAAAACGAGTCCTTAGATTTGCGCGACTGGTGTGCATTTAATACCCCTTTAAACAAATATACGCGCGACAGAAAGTGCGCGAGCGAAAGCGACAAATAGAAAAGGAGAGGGAAGCAGGAACGCATCGTTAGTCATTAAAAGTCGACTCCCATGTAATAAGAGAGTTAAATTAAAATGTGTACGTATACATATATATATTGTGCAAGCGCGCTGCCCTACTACGAGCTCGAAACGCGCAACGAACGAGGAAATGGAGTTGCTCGTTGCGAATTCTATCTTCTTTATAATACTTTGCGCAATCTTCCATATTTTGAAAATATCCAATTTAAACGCCCTGAGCTCGGTGTAGGACTGCTGCTCCGCTAGCTGCTACTGCACTGCTGCTACTATCCGCGTGGACGATTAATTTTCGAACCTCGTAAATTTCGAAGCCGTATTTTTTCTCTCTTTTTCCCTACCTTCGAGCAGGCTGATTTCCTTTTTTATAAATTTCAGCCAACCTAGACGAGATTTGGTGCACCGACTGTGCAATTCCTATACATCGTGCCTTGTGCTAAATGAAAGTTTGCAACGATGTCGAAATATTTCACGACTGATCGCGACTGATCACGACTTGTATAAAGATGCACGACGCGTATAAAGAAAGGGGTAAAACCGAGAAATTATAAAATAAGTAACGTACGATCAAGATCGTTCGATTTTCCGTAATACCCGCTTGTCCTTTCTCTCTCTCGCTCTCTCCCTCTCTCTTTCTTTCTCGTTACGCTTGGACGCATTATATAAGTTGTTTGCACTCCAAGAGCTTCTACTGAAATTCTTTCCCCGCGAAAACAAGGGAATCTGTTTTCCATGTCGATGAATTAGCTCTTGAAGCTTTTTTGCTTTGCTCGCGCTAGTGCCGATGCCGGTGTGCTCTAATAGTCCATTTTGCTCGGCTTTTCCATTCTCTTCTTACTCTTTCTTTTTTCCCTATCCACCCCCGCACTGGAACAACTACACATACTCATGAATACACATAGAGCGCGTATATACCATTATAATACACATGGGAATTCCTTTCTTCTCTCGTTAATGTAGATTCACTTCTGCGCGTGCGATGTACATCCTTTACGGAATATTCCGGAAGAGAGAAAAAAAGAGAAGCGACTAATCTATCTGCGCTGCGAGAGTTACTTTTTCATTAATTAATCGCGAGCTGCAGTTATCAATATTTTATGACTTTTTGCTGTCGAGAAATGATTCCTTCGTTACGACGATAACTATAAAGGGGCATAAAAAAGAAGTATTAAAAAGGAAAAAAAATGAATCCATCCTATTTTCCTGAATTATGAAACAAAATCTAACGAACTGAATCTCGTTCTCTTATCGATTTTTCACAATCGAAATCTACTGTTTTACGATGGTAGGCGAAGGAAGATAGCTACAACCCTTCCTTTTTTTGTAATACGCGAGGCGCATCGCGCTTCCTTTTCCTCTTTCCGCGTATAACTTGGAGCCGGGAAAAAAATGCTGAAATCACAAAAGCCCCGCTGCAGTGGCTAGTGCCCATGCAGCTCCTTTTGAAATACGTTGCCGTAATTGAAAGTACGATAAAAATTAGAACCTCCCCGCCCAGGGCCAAGCCACCGCCAAGCCTCGAAGCACGAACCACCGATGTAATATATCTACATTAATACGTTCCCTACGTTTTTTCCAGAATCAATTTTTCGGCCGCTGCTCCGTTTTTCCAATTTTGTCAATTCACAAAACGTTTAAATTCAATAAGTCCACGAACTGTCTTGCGTTTGGATTAACTTTATTATCGATATGCTATATTGGGCAAGTAATAGTACTTTATGTAACGGGTACGGATATACTTTTTCAGCGAAACGAGGCTCGCCTTCGGCTCGTGCTGCAACCCCTCGTTTCGCTGAAAAAGTATATCCGTACCCGTTGCATACAATATTTTATGGTACAAAAGCCTAAAAGTAGCGGCGAAGTTGCGAATTTTAGGTTAGCGTGCCATAAAAAAATATGTGTTTCAATTACCGCGTGCACTTGAGACCGTCCGACGCGTTGCAGGTCGGAATCGTTAAAACTGAGATGAAACAAAAAAAGCAGCAGCAGCAGCAGCTTTGTCGTCATCGGTCGTACAGCGAGCTTTTTGTTATTTGCAGCTTTGCGAACTTTTCAAACTGGCTTTCGCGGTGTTCTACGCGCGTAATCATCTCATTTGGTCGTATACAAATTGAGTATCGCTGCGTACCGTGCGCACGTCTCTGCTCGTCTCTCTGGACGGAAATTCTGACGTTTCTCCTACCCAATATGACACGAATTGCAGTTTTGCCTACTTTTTAATTAATGCCACATACTTCCGTCGTTCTCTTCTTCTGCATGTTTTTTTTTGGCGCTTTAAAAAACTATTATTAGCTCGTAGCATGAGCATACAGCCAACACGAGTGACAAGTTTTAAATGATGAATCGACGTCTGCGCATCCTGACACTGATGCAAGGAAAAAAATCCCGAAGGCATAAAGTCGGTGTAGGCGCGCAAGCGACATATCAATCAGTCAAAGCTCAAAATTACCTCGCGTGCAACGTATTTTCATCCTCTGAGAAAAAGCTCGCTGCGTGTATTACGAATGCATGCAAAAACGAGCCAACATAACCATGCATAACCTTACGCACGAAAGAAAAAAGATGGCGCTATCAATCAATTTCGCGACTCTAATGTAATTGAAAAAATTGCGCGCGAATATGCGCAAGCTAATCATATTCGATATATGCGCGCGTAACGTTACACGATGCATCCTAAAGAAACAAAAACCCTATTTCCCTTTCTGCCTCTTTTTTTATATAAAAAAATGCAGCGACTTTTTACAAGTTGGGATTTTTTACGACTGCTGTGGAATTCTCGTCATCGATATCGTTTTCGTCCAATTTAAAATCATCCGAGGCTCTTTTAAACATGAATATTATACATTGACTAGTGATATGAGGCACGCTAACTAATCAAATGAAATTAAAATAACCAATGACTTAGAAATATAAACATTTGAGCAAACGCCACATTTAAGTTTTCCTACTAAAAATATTACATAAACGACCGAAGCGAGATTCCGACCAATAATGAAGCGAGGCACAGTTACTCCTCGACCAATGAGGTGACGAATTAAACGACTTCACGTGATTTTTTTTTTCAAGGAAAAAAATAAATGAAATGTCCTACCTCGAGGCAGTACGATGAGCAGTAGGACTAGATGAATCGTCAAGCCGAACAGCCAGGATGGTTTGGCGAATAGGCCGATAACTTGGCGAATAATCCGCTGATGGTTTGTTCTGGTTGCGCAGCCGTCGGCTGTTTTTACGAGCCGCAGCCGCTCCCTTGGCTTCGTGGCCGTCGTCTCCGTCGTCTCCGTCGTCGTCTCCGTCGTCGTCGTCAACGGACAACGCGTCGAGGCTGGACTCGCAGGCCTCATTTCTCCCGGCGCCCGGACGATCCGCACAAATAACGACTCGCGCACTGCACAGCGTGGCTAATGCTGCTCTTATATTGTATAGCTAATAAAAAAACGTCGACGAACACGATTATATTTGGCCCCGTTGCTTTTTTTTTTTTTACTTATTCGGTGCCACTGCGAGCACCAATCGACGACGCTTCTTTTTATTGCACACGAACAATAACAACAAAGAACTTCACTTTATACTCTTCTTTTTTTTTCAATAAATGAATTGATACATCAGCACTTTACGAATGCACGCACGAATTCTCGCTTTCTGGCCTTCCAATCCGGAGTTTGCGCACATGTACGAACACTTTGAATTTCAGTATCTATGCAACTTTTTTTTCTCTATCTCCGTATCGCTGCACTATTTCGGGAGAGTAGCGATAGTCGCGGAGCCGGCTGGCCCTCCCGATTTGGCCGTCATAACTCTCTCTCACTCCGTATAACCTCACTCTGTTTATTTCTATGTTTTGCGTTTCGTTCGGTCACTTTGTGTGCAGTTCGGATTGTTCTTTGACGTCTCTACACCAACGACGTGCTCGCTGGCCAACGTCCTGTCGCAGACTGAGCCTGAAAAAGTCAAGGGAGAAAAAATCAAACTTTATATGAGAGTATATACGTGCGTGTGCGGGGGCGAGAGAGAGAGAGAGAGAGAGAGAAAAGATACATCCGCAGAATTAGATACAAGCTGCGTGTGCTCGAGTGTACGGATCGAAGGGGGAGCTGTGACCGAGCGCCACGGCGTTAAGAGCGAGTCGAGATCAAGTCAAACAGGGAGAGAGAAAGACGTTTTCCACGCGTATAGATTTTCCCCGATACAACAAAGTCTGTCGAGACCAAAGTAAATTTCGTATCGTGTGTGTAGCAGGCATATATTACTTGTATACAATGTTTGCTCGACGCGCAATATTTGTCACCTAATTGATCGATACAATGGGCCTACAGCAGTATGCGCAACTCTCGTACAGTCTTATATGATCCGTGCGGCCTTGCACAACACGAGGACGATTCGAAAACATTGGTAATAGGTTCGCAGCTGCTCTGCATGTATAAGAAAATTAACGAGGACTCGGTTGAAACTCCACGAGCCATGCAGGCCGCGCATGTGTGCGGCTCTATATAATAATGTTGGCGTCGGCAGGCTTAATTCAAACTTCCATTATACATCCTCGAGACAAGTACACAGGAGGGCTATATAGATGTAAAATCAGTTTACGTGACTGCGCGAAACTTGCTTAGGCGCGCTGATATATCCTTATACGCTTGCGCATCGTCAAATTGTGTCAACGCTGCCTCCCTGTGCGCGTGTAAACCACTGCCTGTGTATGCCGTGTAACTTGCGTTTATCTATATGATGAATTCGAGCCGAGCTCGGGATACGCGCTATAACTAATCGAGCTTCGACTCTATCTCTCTAATGAAATTGACGGGAAATTTTCGTTTCGTCGAGCTGTACACGTCTGTATTACCATCCTCCTTTCTCATTCTGTACGATCATTTGAATGCAAAACTAATTGTATGAAGAAACGTTCAAACAACTAAACGATACGGTTATTTCTATGCGGATAACGGCAATAAGTAAGCCAAGATAAGTAAACTTGAAAAGCCTCGGAAGTGTACATATACGAGGTGACTGGCGTTCGACAGGAGCAGCTCCGATACTTGTATCTTTCTCGCGATTCATCTATACGTTCGAATGATAAATAATCTACCTCATATCGTTGCAGCACTATATAAACTAGTAGTCGAGCGTGAGGTTTACAAAATCTCGAAGAGATAGTTCATTGTGGCATAAGCAGCAGATTACGGTGCGGCAGAGTAAAGCTCCCGAGCGCAGCGAGCCGTGCTTCTGCCGTGCTCGTACTGTGCTACTTATGACACGTGTACAATATACTGTTTTATAGCACCGCGTGGCATAAGTTCACATTTATGGCACGCTTTTCGGTGGCATGCGCTAACCTCACTTCGCGCTACCAGAAAGTGTGACTTATGCATCGGAAAAGGGGGCATAAATGTGAACTTAGCACAGTGCTAAAAAACGTTGTACGATACTCGTGACATAGGGAAAAGTTTTCGGCCCTAAACTACGCCGTGCCAAAAAGTGTTACTTATGCCATTAGTATCGTAAAGTACTATTATGGCACTGTGCTAAATTCACGTTCAGACCCCCTTTGGCGAGATATGAGCTGCTCATAATAGCGTCGCGGTGCCAGAACGCGCGACTTGTACCGCCGAAATTAGCGTGCCTCAAATATGAACTTAAGACTTAAGCGGTGCTATAAAAAAATGTATCGCCACATGGAAAATGTCGCGGCTCGACGGCAGGAGCGCGATTCGAGAAACGTCACCCACGCCTCTGGTACAGTAGCGTCGAGTGCCACTCACGTAGTACACGTGATTATACGTATATTTTCGCTCGCGCGCCTTTTCTCTCTCTCTCTCCCTCTCGTTCGCTCGTTCGAGGCCGCGGATGCGATTCCGTCGTCGCGAGCTCAGCCTCGTAAACGCTTTTAATTGAAATGACTCCCCCCCTACATAATCGAAAACAAATGAAAAGTCGATAAATCGAGCCCCCGCGCGAGTCGACGACTGACTGCACGTACACTGGTACACGCTCGCGTGTGCATATACGTAGCCTCGCTCTCGGCTCTCTCTCGCTCTCCAAAGGCTATACAGCGCATATATACGCCAATCGGGTACGATGAACTCGCTCGCAAGCTCGTGCTATATAACATCATACCGCAAGTCGTATTTCTTTTGACCCCGAGCAGCAGCGACTAGCTGCGCTATACGTATGAAGCAGTAGCAGCGCGGCGCATATTTCTATATTATAATTTGATGTATAACACGAGAAGCGCGTAGTCGAGAGTTTTATCTCGAGCAAAATACAGGCCTTTATTATATGTACGAGAGACAGGAAAACGCGTTAAAAAATAAAAAAACGAGGAGGTTCGAAAAAATTGCGAGAAAAGTTCGAGTTGAGAAAATTGTCCAAAGCGGAGCATCGTTTGTCCGCTCGAGGCACGGACAATTCGATGTATTACGCATTCGCGAACTGGTACACAATACGCGATGATGCACAAATGGATCGCGAGAGATGCGAAAGAGAGAGACGGATGCAGGCTAAAACAATAACGCAGAATTGAACTTTGTGCCGCATGCAACGTAGCCAGATATATAAATTCTATGTCTGCATTGTGTGGACGTAGGCTAGAGTAAGCATCTCGTACAACTAGTACGAGTAGCTTTCACGAGGGATACGCAGCAGCCAGATATTCAACAGGAGGCCGAACGCTCGAGTCCGATAGACGAACCGCCGAGTTCATAGCCCTGCCTATGCCACGAGAGAAACTGTACAGGTATATTTATGGGACATTGGGCCACGAACGGATTAGGAATTAGGAACGAGGCAGCTTGCGCAGCGACTAATTAATAATTCCTACCTTGCACATTTTTCTAGCCGAAGCAATCGCCAAAGGAACACATTTTTTTATCGCCAAAGCCGAGAGCTGCTGCTCGTGCAAACAAGGCGCGCGCGCGCGCAAAAAATTCAGCCAGTCGAGCTTTCCACTGGTCCATGGAGCGTTAGCACTTTGAGCCGTACTAGCGAGTCCACGGAGGAGCTTTCGCAGCATCCACGGCGGCGGTGGCAGCAGCGGCGGCGGCAGCAGCAGCAGCAGCAGCAGCAGCAGCAGCAGCCACTTTTAACCATGATGTTTGTTTTGTTTTTCTCTTTCTTTTCACGATTCTCTTGGATGGCTTGGACTCGGCAGGTTCGCGAGACCCAGCCGCATATGAGCACAGGCACACACGCGCGCACTTACTTATTCATTTATTCATATATTTTTGTATACAACTCGACGCGGACTCTGGCTCGATCGCACTCGTCGTTACTCGGCGCACTGCTTGCTGAGAATCGCGTCGACGACCGAGCACCGCGAGACGATCTCATCGTAACGCAACTTCGTCCGACGATCGAACGACGACGATGGCAAATTTATTTATTTATTTATTTATTTATTTTTATTTTTTGCTTTCAACGGCGAACGGTGTCGTCGAGCTTCTTGCCCGACTATGCTTGGCCACGCGCCGTGAGAAATTATTATCGGCCCGCGATTGGACCGTTTGCTCGGAGCGAGAGGGAATCAGTCGGAGCGTAAAATCATTGCGAAAACCATACGATCACAAGGGCGAACGAAGTGACAGTTGTAACGACTATGTGACGATTTGAAAGAAAAACAAAAGGAAAATAAAGTGGCAGTTGTCGGAGCTCGAGTCATGCACACATTTGTCTATAGTATTTGTACGAATGTGTACGGTATGCGCGCGCGGAAGGATAAACGCGTATAGATCAGGCAGCCAGCCACTATCGCAGCCAGCAGCCGCACGGGACTGCAGGTTGGCTTCGCGGAGATACCCGGCTAAGATGAAACACACGCCACGTATATACGCGCGCACACAGAGACAGAGAAACGAGCGGGGGTAAAATTCGAAGCTCGTGTTGGTGCGTTATTTCCATCTCGCTCTCGCTCTCGCACATCCTCCTTCTCCTCTCCACGGCCGAGGCATTCCCCAACCCTTTCCCTCGTTTCTCCTCCTCCTCCTGCTCTCTCTCTCTCTCTCGCTCGCTCTTGTTGCTCCATGGATGGAACTAAATAGTATATACGTGTATATTGGCAGGTAGCGAGGGAGCTTGCGCTTGTAAATGTGTGCGCGTGTGTGTGAGTTGGTGCAGCACAGGCTCTGCCGCCGTCGTAATGCGCGTGCTTGAATCTGGACCGCCTCCTCTCGCCGAGCGAGCGACGAGCGACCGATGAATGCTACGTATGTATATGTATATATCGTAGTTTTGCCTCTTAACCAACCAACCCTTCTTGCCCCCACTCTGGCACTTTTCGCAGATCAATATTGCCTCGGGTAGGAGGAAGCTCTGTACCACTGCTACTGCTCCTCTCTCTCTCTCTCTCTCTCTCTCTCTCTACGCAGCAGCCAGCGTGTTTTTACCGGGACGCTCGTTTATATATATACGTGTGTGCGAGCGCGAGCTATACCTCCATGGAAAAGCTCGTCTCTCTCTCTCTCGTGCGTTACCTATATATTATACGAATACGCGCGCACGTGTGTGCGTGCGGACGGTAACTCGCTACGTGCGTGTCAGAGAACTCACACGTTCGCTCGTACACGTATAGAGGTCGAATCTGTGTCGACTTTTATCCTTTTTTACCCCTTCCGCTTCTTTTTTTTTCTTTTTACTTGTTTTTTTTTTTTTTTTTTTTTTTTAACGTCACCAACAATATGATGTTTCTAGCGTGTATGCAGGCAGACTGCACGCAGGAACTTGCTATATGTACATGGAAGCCTCGATCAGTGCCCCCGCGTATAACCCCCGCGCAATCGATATCGCGTATATAAAACGCGACAACGGCCAAGTGTAACCCCAAGCCAAGCGGCACTGATTGATATTTACCCAACTCCGAGCTGTTACAATGGGATCGATGATCGTAGGTAGGCCGCGGGAGGGCTACTAAAAAACCAATGACTCGGCTCGAGAAGGAGTTTAAGCAACGAGAGAGGCCACTTGGATCGGCGAGTCAATTCCTAGCGAGCCGCACGATTGAAATCGCGTACACAGGGCCAATAACCAAGTTCAACGGTTGCCCAAATGAATGAAAAACTAATCGTCTCGTTGGCAGGCGCTGCGCAGCCGGTCGAACGCACTCTCGCGACTTTGCGCGTCCTTTTCGAGTTTTCCGCGTTTATGATGGTATAATTTGCTCGACGCGCACGCGGTCCGAGCCGATTTTTCGAAATGAAAGCGAGAAAGAGCACGACGATGCGAACGACGTATAATAAACCACCGTAAGTGGCGGTCTCGAGGCCTCCTCGCTCGCGGGGGGCTCGCAAAGAAACCCTGCCAAGATGCAGCATGTATATATACATTAGGTCGTATAGCGTCTAGGTTGTATGAAAGCGCGAGAGCTGCTGCGAGTTGTGCGCTATCACGCTCGCTCTCGCCTCGCGAGGGTGGGTGGGCTAGGGTTAGCCTGTTGCTGCCCGCGAGCTTCGCACGTTCTCTGTGTATCATCCCTCCTCCCTCCGTTGGTGCACGCGCGCACGCCATCGTTCTCGCGCACACCAGCAGCAGACTGCAGGCGGCGTGGACTTGCGGGGACGAGCGCGCGGGCGCACTTCCTCGCTCTCTCTCTCTCTCTCTCTCTCTCTCTCTCTACCTTTCGCACCCTTCTCCGACGGCGGGTGTGCTATGTATATACAACGAGTCCCCGGCTGTTGCTGATGCTGATGCTGCTGCCACACCATCGCCACCGCTGCCTGCTACTGCTGCGCTGCTTTTTCAAGCGCTACTAACCTACATTCGTAGCCCGCACGACTCGTGTGTGTACGCGAGTTTCGGGCTACCAAAGACGCCGCTGCAGAACGCGACGATGCACACACACACACGAGGAAAGGGGGGAAAAAGATTATTTTCTTTTTATCCAAATAATACGCATTGTCTGACGTAATAAAATTACTCTATTTTTTAGCGCTCCAACAGGTCACGTTGCACGAGTAACGTGAAAATCATCGTATTGGCTGGTGCTACGAGACGAGACAAGATCTTTTTAAATTCAAGAAAATATGCTCATCCAGTCTCATCGTATGATTTCTTTGCAACGACAGAGTCCATCGTTTCATATCGATTTACCATTTACCATTTAAAGTTTGTAGATAGACATCAACGAAACAATGTACGACAGCGATAATTGAATAATCTGAAATAATACGTAAAATTTTATAAATTACTCATTTTCCAAGAGTGTCTCGATTGATATTCCAAGCTACCTTTCGACTCATATCATAATTCAAAATTTTGCTCGGACCAATTCTAATACAGGAATGTCTGCTGGACCTCATCATTATCAATTTTATCATTTTTCTGTTCTTTATTGAGTATCTATACCAATCGGTGCAATAGCTGTTGACAACGGAAATGAACGAATAGTGTACATTAATCGTAAACAAATTAATTAAGATGACTCGAAAACTGTAATACTCGCGTCAAGTGCGCAATGACTATTCTTACCAGTTATCGAAAATTTCATTACAAGCGTCGTAAATTTTCTGCGAGGGATAGGCAGCGACGAACAAAAACTCTGAGCACAAGCTATATATCAGGCCCATTTTCATTGCGACATTTAAGTCTTCGTTAAATTTCATTACCATCTGCGAGAAAAATTAAGCTATTAATTATTTAAAAAAAAAATGCTGCTGCACAGGCACAAAATCACACCAAACAGCCCGAAGCGCTGCAGCCAATGATCACAGCCAATACTCCCAGCACTAATATAGGATTGATAAATTTGTTCAGCGTCTCGAAGCAACTAATGATAAGAAAAGTTAGATACAATCAGGCGAAACAATTCTTAATATCACTACTTAACTCAATGCTAAATTGCTGTAGTTGGACCAACTCATAGATACGTTTAAAAATTTCATCATTTTTTTCCAAATAATCCTTCTTTCGAGAGAAATTGGAAATCTGATTCAACTTGAATCTAATTTAAAAATTGACTCTATCAAATTGATTAGACGATAAATACACTATGAACATTATATTAAAAATACCCCATGTATCTTAATTTTCCAATCACGTAAGAGCTTGCCGATATATAAATAATTCCTAAACTTGAAAGGTACACTTGTATTATAAAACAAAGGATTATCATGATAAAAAAATAATAATAAAAGTGTGTGTCCTCGTCTATAAACAATTCCAAGTGAAAGGAGAACCTTTTTCGATACGTATGATTTCCGGGTAAAATCAAATTTGCTGTAACTGGCCATATTACTGGAATCGCAACGATATACATAGTCCAAGATACACATACAAGACCTGCCGAATAATTGATCTCTTTATTCAGTAAAATTAATTTCATTCTGATTTTCGAAAAGTAGACCTGTGACTATGTAAATAGCCAAATTAGACGTATCAATGTAGTTTTTTAGAAATTCTTTTTCCTCGGAATGGCAAAGCAACAGATTTCTTATCATATTAACGACTAATTTCTGTAACTTCGAAGATGATGTAGACAAAATTAAAAAAGTCTCCGATTAATAAAAAATTTTTGGAAAAATACAATAGAAAATTTTATTAGATTATTTTTACCATCAAAGGGCCTCTTTTGTCCAAAATCGTGATATACATGCAGAAAATAATAAAACTTTGAATACAATATTGAACGCATAATTCCATTACTGCATTTATGTCTAATTTGTCACTACTTATTCTTCTTTCCACATAGATGAACTGCAAAACAACCCTTTCACTACATACGCTAACTTGAAATTTATCGCAAATGAAATAGTTAACCAATATTACCAAGGATATTAGAAATACAATGAAAAACACAAATGTTACAAATAACCCATATGCCTTAATGCCAGTCCAAAAAGGCCACATGAGCGACGCCTTCATGAAAGGTACCATCAAAGGGTACATTTTTCTAGCACCTTTTTCGATGTATAATATATCGAATTGTTCCGATAACTGTCTTAATTCGTGATTTTCAAAATTTTGTTGAAAAATGATCGACCAACTTTGCGGCATGATTTTTACTTATCAAAAATATAACTCATATATAATCTAGAATATGTCTTTGAACGAATCTACGCACTATCTGAAAACTAGAGCTTTATTTGCCGCTGAAAAGAGGCTTCAATGAAAAAATAACACTGTACATTTCAACAATTTTCACAATGGTACTTGTATAAATAATAAATGCTTTAAGTGAGCAGTTAAAAATACGAATAGAGAATTACTCAAAATTGATTAATAAAAAATTCTGACACAAATCTCTTGCCATTGCGTGTCAATGTTTCACAGCGCATTCAAGTTGGAATGAATTTATTTCTTCGTTCATTTTTTCAATAGCTAATTGCTTGCATTATAGCTTGCCTATTAGATTTATGTAATAAAAATCTTTTGAATATTTGTATACCCTATTGTGTGTATTCACAATAGAAGCATAGGGATAATTCTATGCAGAATCGAATGCTCAATATTTTTAACGAAACAAGTTGAGAGGCCTGCTTAAAATTCTCTGAATTTTTGAAAAGAAAATTCTGTCAACACTTCGAAAGCTCTCAACTGTTTCTAATGACCGACTAACTAAAAGACTTACGAAATTTAAGATGCAGGTTGTAAGGCTCAAAATGTAGAATAATCTGAACCTTACTTAGAGATGCAGAATTTGCAGGGATGTTCGTTGCTTTGAGAGGCCGCAAAAAAGAGATACAGATCCACATTCGAGACAAATGGGGTAATTCGCCAATTTCATTGACTTTCAAGAACGATCACATAGAAATGGCCAAATCGATACTGAAGAAAGGAGCCGATCCCAATGTAGTCGAAAGGGAGGAAGAATCAACTCCTCTGCACATCATGTGCAAAATAGATGACGATTACTACTTGGTAAAAGCGTTCGAACGCTTTTAGCTTAGCATTTTGCGTCATGGCTATACGCTAGAGTCTAGTAAAAATATCAGCTCGAGTCAGCGACGCCGTAACGTTCATGCAATCTTTTGCCGTTCAAAGAATCAGGAGATTTTGAAAAATCTCGTCTATATAATGATGAGAAGTTTGTAGCAGATGCAAAAGAGGTGATCAAAACGTTTAACATTTGCGGGCTACTGGAAATTCAAGGGAATGGGAAAAGCTTTCTCAAAGACATTGCGACATTTGTGCTTATTACATCTGTGCGAGAAACTATTGACAGAATTTTTCCAGTGCCATGGACACTGCGGAGCCTTTCATGGAGCTGATAAGGTATCGTCTACCAATAGGGTGCTACTGTAAAATGATCATCGCTTCATTCAAAAACATAGATTTGTACAATACTTGCTTCGCGGCTGCAAACCTAAGAAATGTATCAATGAGCACTAAATAAACTACGAAAAGATTACAAGATTGTGAAAAGAAGAGATCGAGACGGTTCTTTTTTATTCTTGTCGTGAAATCAATAAAAAGTTGTTCAATTTTCAACGAGTCGCAATGGCCATAAGCATAAATTTCATTTTTTCTTATATTTGCAATTGTTTGTATGTTTTTGTCTTGTGTTGCATATATTTCATAATATTAAAATAAATAAATTTAAAAAATGAATTTCGATTTTTTTATGTAAGTCCACCATCATTTAAAGTTAGATCTGAAAAGTTATAGAAAGACACAAAAATCGAAATATTGAAAATAATTTTGCTATAGCCCGAATAAAAATGTGATATATTTTGACTGATTATGATAATCCTTATGCCAAAAATCGTTGGTAAAATAAATAGCTAAAAAATTAAATAAAAATATAATTTGAAGAAAAATGTATGCAAAGAAGTAAAAATATTTCTTACAAAATGCCAATGGTTACATATGGTTTCGTAATAAACTTTTATTCTTATAAAAAATATCATTTTACTAAACATGCCTTATTTTTATAAGATATTTGGAAACATTATTTACCACTTTTTTATAATAAAGCAAATCTTCCTCTGAACCTCATGAACTTTTAAGTTCTCAATTCTATATCTCGTTCTAAATATTCACATTTATCTACAAATTATTCGATAAATAGAATTAGGAGCTTTTAATTTTTACACTTTTTCACCAGATATATATTTAAAAAAATTCTAAATAAAATTTTTTACAAATAAAATGATTTCTTTACTTTAAACTAGTGCCATCTGTTATCTCATTCAAAAATGTATTTAATAATAACAAGAGTTTTCTACATGATCTTCCATCGATAACTACTTTACACATTTTCAAAACTGCATGATTATCATGATTACTGAGATCAAATGCTTAGATTTAAAAATACTATAAAAATACTTATATTTTTTTAATCTCATTAATTCATAATGACACTTAGTTTTGCCACATAATAACATATTTATATATATTCAGGTTAGAAATATAAAAAAAGTATGTGCATCACGTTTGGGCATTTTTCACTTCAGCAATTAATTGTCTGATTCCTGGAATCCATGAGCTACACATTGAAGTATGGTTCATCATGAGACTGATATGCAATTTATCAGCAGCCTCAAAGTCTCCTTTTTCAAGATCTGAATCAATATAACATGGGAATTAACATTGTAAACAAAATTATCAATTTCATTTTTAAATGAAGTACCTGAAGATAATTCTATAAGGTTTTTGTGTACAGTCTCGTTTAATCCATCTGCATTCCACATGGTTTCCATTCGTTCAAGTCTTTTCTCTATTTCTTCTTTTTTAGTTGACTCTAATTTTGCTAATACAGATCTTAAATTACGCATTACAGTGGGTAATATTTCTTTGTTGTCACAGTCAAGATCACTCACAGAACTATTAGTTTGTAATGCTGTAGGCATTAACATTGGTTTGTGAGGAGCACTCGTCAATTTAATTGAGTTTGGGGGAGGAGGTAAATTGACTAATGATGGTTCATTGATAGGTGTAGACGATAGGTTCGATTCTCCTGGCTTAGAACTTAAGGGGTATGCAACTCTCTTATTTAACAGCCTTTTTGGCTGAGCCTCTGGCCCTGTTGTTTTAACAGCTGGTGTATACGCCCAACTTGGAGGGTCATTCCAGCCTGGGTCATGCGATGAGTGTAATGATTTCTGAGTAGATGGTATTTCTGAAAAAACATGTTGTACTTTTACTTGAGGTAAATTTCATTGTTGAAAATTTAAACTATAAACGTGAATGTTCTTAATACCATCATTATTTTCTGACATTGTAGACAACAAAAATTAGACAGTTTTTATTCAATATTGCTTCTCTCAATTGTAACAGCTTTCACTAGAACAAAATTAAAATTACTTACAATATGCTGAGATTTAATAAATCATTGAAGCAAAATCATTTACTCGAATGTTATTCTATACACATGATAAAATAATGTTGAATAAAATTCTCAATAGCTTTTTAATTACACTGAACGTCAAAATCGTTGAGGGAAGCAAACATGCGTGAAATGTGTAGCAGACGGGATTTATAACATGAACCAAGACTTGGAGTCTTGCTTGCGAATTACTGCCGTGTGACGACTGACGGGTGAGCTGACCTGACGTATGAGTTCATTGGTCTGTTCACGTGCAGAAAACACGCAATAATAACAAACCGCGATTGAGACACAAAAATTCTTCATACAAGAAATATCGTCGATTACTGATTGTAGAACTGCAATTTCAAAGCGTTAATACCTCTTTCGTCTACTGACAATCTTTTGAATCGAAAATTCGAACGATCACAAAAAGAACGACAATAGGTGAACAGACCGTTGGGTATTTGCAATGCTGATAAGGTTACGGCAGCAGTCAGCAGTCAGCACTGCTGTAGAGCTGTGCGCGAATGCGCCGAGCGAACAGTGAGCGAGCACTCTTGTTGACATGCTTCTGCTGCTGTTGCTGCTCATGTGCAAAATATTACAGAACGAGCTATATAAAGTGCCTACGCTGTACCGCATTGCTGATATGTTTTTCTGCCAAAAAAGCTCGCGTCTAAGCACGCGTTATAGCTTTTGCAAGAACTTGAGAAAAAAGTCTGCGCGTCGCGCTCGCTCCTCGTCTGCAGTCTGCACTTTATTTTCAAACATTATGGTCGTGCAGCATCTAAAATAAACTTGGCAGGTGCAGTGACAATCGCAAGAGACTCGCGACTGTACACAGCAAACGGAAAATTAACATTACGAATTTAGCGATAATCTTCCTTCTGTTGCTGCGTGAGTCTTTTTTACTTGAGTTTATTATAGCTGTTCTATTGTTGTTTAGTAACTGACTATTTTTATTTTCTCAAATCGCATGTTCTTCTGACAAACGTAAAATTTTTATTGAGAAACTCATGTTTACCTGTATCCTGGTGTGTCATTGATTATTGGAACTTTAATAATAGTAAGAGGGGCAGAATGTTCCAATATTGTGAAGTGAATTGATAAATGAACTTTTCCAAGCAGTATTGTGTCTGCGATAAGCTAGTAATATAAAATAATAATCTAATGATGTAAAAAATCAGTTATGCGTTTGAATAATGTTTACAAAAAGTATTCAAATATTTATATGTTAATACAGGTTAAAAATAATCTAATGTTGCACGATGCCAGGAAAAATCAAAGTAAAAATTTTATCTGGTCGGAACCTTCCAGTTATGGATCGCTCTGCAGATACTACAGATGCTTACGTCGAGATCAAATTTGGATCTACTACGTACAAAACTGACGTTTGCAGAAAATCCCTTAATCCTCAATGGAACTCTGAATGGTACAAATTTGAAGTAGAAGATTCAGAATTACAAGATGAGCCATTACAAATAAGATTGATGGACCATGATACTTATTCTGCCAATGATGCCATTGGAAAAGTGTATGTAAATCTGAATCCATTGCTACTACCAGGTACACCACCGCCAGCAGTCAAAAATATTTGGACACTTGAAGCAGCGATGAATACCAGCACTGGATCTCAAGGAGGTATATCATAAATAAGACATGATCAAACTATTTATACATCAGAAAACTTGGTACTATTTAAATTTTATTCTGTAGGATCTGTTATGACTGGTTGGCTTCCAGTATACGACACAATGCATGGAATCAGAGGAGAAGTCAATATCATTGTCAAAGTTGAACTATTCATTGACTTCAATAAATTCAGACAATCTTCCTGTGGCGTTACATTTTTTTATTGTAAGTTTATAAATTTATAATAGTCAAAACAAAGTTTTAACAAATTTTATACTTCCAGCTCCAATTGTACCTTATGGTTATCATGCTCAAGTTATACATGGTTTTGTAGAAGAACTAGTAGTTACAGATGATCCAGAGTACAAGTGGATTGATAAAATAAGGACTCCCAGGGCTAGTAATGAAGCTCGTCAAACATTGTTCATGAAATTAAGTAATGAAGTACAAAGAAGAATGGGAGTAAAAGCTATTGATCTTGGTGGGAACGCTGTTATCGGGTAAATAAAAACGATAATGATATCCAAAAAAAATTTGATTGGTTTTCGTCTTCGACAATTACAATTTTTTGTGTAGATACTTGCAAAATTTTGATCTAGAAGGAGAATCAGGAATAGTGGCTCGTGGGATTGGTACTGTGGTCACCTTGGTAAAACATCATGATCTTCCCAATTTTTTATCCGAGCCTCAAGGAGTTGAAGAGTAAGTTTAGAACTTGATTTTTACTTATGATTCATAGGAAAATCTTGATTATTTTCCAATATTCTCAAATAATCGATACAGATAAAATTGGTAGAAGCATTAAGCTATCTTCAATTATTCTTTCTTATTTGAATAATCAAATATCTAAGAGATGCCTAAATTCATTCGCTAGAAGTACAATAATTTACAAAATTGGAAGGAATTTGATGAACAGTACAAGTATAATAATCGCTCTTAATCTTTTTTTTTCTTTTTAATTATTCTCGCCCCATTATAAAAATCCACTGCACGTTGTTGAATTTTTGAACTAATATAACTAATGAAGAAGCGCTACGCAAGCTTGCAAATTAAAAACCGAACAAATAGACATGGAACACAGTCCAAAGCAATCGACACCCATGGTGAGCCCAAGATTTCCTTTAAATCCAGAAAAAGAACCCGTGACTCCGTTGAAACTCGTCGAGGTGAAAACACCGTCGCCGTTGTCGTTCACTCGTCAAATGTCGATACAATCCACGACGAGTATCGGATCTCGAATTCGAGTCCCTAATACGACCTCGTCGTCCGTCGCGCCCGACGACTTGATGGACGAGTCGTCGATGCGCAGCATGATGGCCCTCGAGGACATGCGCGGTGAGCCGCAAGGCAACAGATTCACCCGTGGATTGAGAAACCTGAGGTACGTCGGCCAGAACGTCCTCTATCGCAAGAGCTTCAATAACTCGGTGAGATCGAGAGATTCGCTAGACGAGGAGAGCTGCAGCGACTTGGACAGTATACATTCGAGCAATTGGTCGATCATTGGCTCCGACTCCACGGAAGTGACGCCGAGTCAGCAACAGCAACAGCAGAGAATCGGCCCGAGAAGAAAGAGATTTAGAAGGAAACAGGCCGGCGAGGGTATGATGGCTGCGATGCTCATTAGGTCGGTTCACGCTACTGTTTTACCTCTGGATAGCGTAAAGGTCAGATAAAAGCCCTGAGTAAATCAGGTTTTAAGAAGATTTTACCTTTTTTTTTTATCGAAAAAATTGCTTTTTACTCTAAAGGAGGATCGCGAGACACCAACACCGTCGCCCGTGAATTTAACCGACGAAGCAACATCTGTTAATCAAGAAACGAGCAGCGTTGACATACTAGCCGTGGAAGCGATTCGAGAGTCGGAAATGGGCGATCATCGCGACACGAAATCGGTAAAGAGCTCGACAATCGTAGCGGCTTACAACAAATTCAAGGACGATCAAGTTATACCCATGATATCGTCGTCCGAATCCGATACATCGACGGACGAGGAGGAGCAGCAGGCGGAGCCGAACGAAGAAGACGACGCCGACGAAGGAGGGCCATCGGAATCAAGTACTAATTACAATATCCTCGACGACACCATATCCCTGTTAGATCTCTCCAGCTCATCCGAGAACGACGATAGTCCGCGCGATGCACCGGACCATCATTCATCGACGTCATTCACGCATCTCGCACTACGTACGAAAACCGATGAATTTTATTCTCATTAATGAAATTTATTCTCATTGTGTCCAAAATAGAAGCCTTATCATGATAAAATTTCTTTTTTTTTTTTGTTTCTTTGTGAAATAACAAGTTTATTGCTTTTCGTACGTTATCTCGAATGTTTTATTTGCAGAGTTATCTCAAAAGTCCGAAAATGAGGCTGCTACAAGTAATCTCATTGACATCTTGAGTTCGCCGAGCATCAAAGATGAAAAAAAAATTAATTACTTATCGTCGGAATTTTCATCGGACATCGATTCCGATTTGCCCCTGAAAATAATTTCAAGCGAGAGACCGAAAAGGGTTCGTAAAATATCGAACTCGTCACGCAGCAAATCTTGTGTAGACTCCGATAAGAAAAAGAAAGTGCCGCCACCGTTAAAAATGCCCGAAAACGACGAAGAATCGCCGGTACAGCAACAACAGATCTCGTCCCCTGCGAGTCTGAAATCTGCGAGGCATCACCAAAGATTGCACAAGCAGCAATCTCTGATCTTGGACGAGCTCGGAAATAATTCGGAATCGTCCGGCGACGAGTATTATCCCAAGCATCACGTGTCGAGAGCGAGCTCGAAAAATCACTTGCTGATCAATTTGTCGGACGACGACGACGAGCCATCGCAGTCGGTTTCTCTCGCCGACGGCAAAGTCAAGATATCGCGTAAAGTCGAGAGAACCGATACGGTCATATACAAAGGCCCGAAGGAGAAGAGTTTCCCTGAAGCGAGCAATGCCGAGCTAGAAGCGTTGCCGCCTGCTGCTGCTGCTACGATTCAGCCAAAGCTCGTCGTTCCACGATCACCGACGTCCGAGATCAAACTGCTTCAACTGCCGTCCCCGACTCCCAAAGACATAGCGCCCAAGAGTCCTTATCCCGTGGAGGATCGGAAAAGCAGCGAGTTCGTCTTTCCCGACGAGGAGAAGCGCGTCGCCGAGATTCTTACCAAGAAATACCGCCAGTCGTGCATGTCCGACCTGATCAAGATGATAGACTCGCGCATGCTCGCGCATCATCACCACCATCACGGTCACGACTCGCTTCGGCGGCGCAGATTGGCCACCTCGTCGAGGCGCCTCGATCAGACGCCGTCGCCCGAGTCGACGCATCGTCGCATTCGCGGCCGCTCGCGATCTCGATCGCCCGAGTCGACGACCGCCAGCGGCGGCCACCATCATCATTCCCATCATCATCATCATCATCACGCCACGAATCTGCACTCGTCGCACTCGTTCGCCTCGTCCATGCACCAACTCGACGGATCGCATTCTCGAGCCCACAAGAGCCATCACAACTCGAGCGAGAGCATAGTCGAGCTAGCGGCGCTTTCGCCGCGTGCCGGTCTCGTCAATAATCATAGCGTCGTCGAGTCGCAACCTCCGCCGCTACGGGAGGAGCTCGACGACGAGTTAGAACAGCAGCAGCAACCTCTAAAAGTCTTAGAAAAAGCACCCGATCAATCCAGTCTAAAAGCTGTCTCCAATAGCATTAACGCTGATCAGCAAATGCTTGAGCTACAACCACTGATGAAATCAATTATTAATTCTACTAGCCCTTTGACAACTAATACGAATAATAATAATAGTAATAATAATAACGATAATAATAATTCTGCTGCTGGCAGTGAAGCGTTTAATTACAATAATATAATTACTAACAATTCTAATGAAACTGACAATTCGTGTGTGTCCCAATCATCGCCCATTCGCAGGCAACAGTCGCAGCAGCAAAAAACCAATCAGAGCGTGGATCAGCAGCAGCAGATTAGTCCAGCTACTAGTAATGGCCAGTCGAATGCCAAAGTCATCGCTGCCACTTCTGCACACTCGCCGGCCGGAAAGAATCCAGTTCTGAGTGGTGTATCGATGCACAGAAGATCCAGCGATTCGGATCTCAGTATAACGCCAAAAGGTCAGTTTCCTTAACTGGTTCATCCCTATCAAATATTGCTTTATAATCATATTCAATATATTTAATGCGTCGAATTGAACGTGCAAAATATATTTAGCTGAATTCACACTTGTTCCTTCTCAATTTATCGAAATTAACTGTAAATATAAAACAAAATGATAATGTTCATTTGAAGAAGAAAAACGACAGCTGTCAAGAACATAATAAAATATGAATCTATTTTTCTGTTCCATTCGCGTTCAAAAACTACTTGCCCCACTCCAGGATTTTATAAATTCTTTCGCGAACGTGAGTACCATGAAGAGAAACCAACTAAAAAATCAAAAATTGTCTTTCGATGTCATAAAATATTATCATTACTCGAATACAATGTTGAAGTTTTTAAAAATATTTATTTTATGAATTGATTTTTTACAAGAAAATTTACGTTTTTTTTTCAAACATCAATTCGATACTAATTAATTAACTATTTTTTGACAATTAAGCATAAAAGCGTACACAAAAACAAATCGTCCCACAAATTATGAATTTTTATAAGCACAGCCGACTTTGCGCTATCGCGCGACGTTTTTGCCGATTGCATAAACTTGTATAATACACTAATTGTGAATTGTTCACTCTTTTTCTAAATAATTTTTCAAAATGATTCTCAATGTTATGTATAGAGATAAAAATTTGAATTCTTAAAAACTGATATTTTTCGAAATCGCATTATAGATAATAAAAGTTTCGTGAAGAAGGGACGATCCTTCCGTCTACGTTCGGAGCGCAGATATCTTTCAAGATTCTTGCTCACCGACAGAGGCTCAGGTTTAATAACTAAAACTAAAGAATTAAATCCGAATGAAACTGTATAGTCTTGAATCATGAAACCCAATTAATTAATATCGTGTATATATATTTTACTTCATATATTTGAATAGTTGATTCGTCGTTACATTGAAAAATTGTCCTTACTATCGATATAGCCAAAACCTCTGCTACACGATGTATGTATTTGAATGTAGACTCCAAAAAATTGACCCGTTACATGAATACTTATATACACACTTGATATTTTGTTACTTTTTGTCGAGATCACCTTGATCGCAGCATGCAACATTTATAAATTATTATTCGATGTGTGCATCAAAGCGTATACCGAACTAAAATCAATCACCTATACTCGTCAGATACGCTGATTTCCTCTTCCTCGATACAAATATACGATTCCGATAACTGTTTTACAGTCTATGACATTTGCATTGTACATAATGTATTACATATATGAGTCTGTTACCCAACACTCCATCACGCACTATATAAATATACATCGCGCAAAAAGCAAAAGTGTCGTAGGTGTATAACCGCCACTGGAGGCTGGAACGATGCGTGCAATAATCTAATCGGTCGATTTGTCTTGGGGCATGACGAAACAGGTAACTCGTTGACCGGCAGCGATCGCTCGATGGGAGGCTACTTGAAGGCCACTTCGGGCGCCACGAGAACCATGAATCAAGAGGCGCTCGAGATGCTCGAGTATCCCTTTATCACGATGCAACAGTATCCGCCGGGCTTCGTGTTGCACATCGGTGAGTCGAAATTTACTTTGCTCAACTTTTTCTTCTCTCTCTCTCTCTCGCTCTCTGTAACGTTTAATCCGTGACGTGGACTCGATTACAGGTGGACTAGTGAGCGCGAGGTCGGTCAAGCTGCTCGAGAGGATCTCGAACCTGGAGGAGCCCGAGGGCAGGGACGCCTGGTGGACGGAAATTCGCATGGAGGTAAGATCCCACGCTCGCGCCTTGGCCTGCAACGTCGTCATCGGTTACAAAGAGGAAACGAGCATCTGGTAAGCTTCCTCCTCCTACACGACCATTCGATCTATGTAATGAAAATGCACTCGTATAATAACGCGGCAGCGACGACGTGTGCGTGCTGAGTGGCTCGGGCACAGCGGCCGTCATCAGTCTCCACAGCACCGGCCAGGACCACGACAACGTGCTCATTACCCACGTCCAGGGACCGATGACCGCCTCCCTCGAGTCGGACAAAGGCTCCGTCGAGAAGAACATCGGCGGCGCCTTGGCCAACAAGGCCGCGGGTAGCCAAGTGTCCATCAATCAGTTGACGCCGGCCTCGGCAGCCTCGGCTATGCCATCGTCCGTGGCCAGCGCCGCGGTCAACGCGTCGACCGCCAACAACCATCACAATCAGCATCAGCAGCAGCAGCAGCATCGATCGAAGCAGCGCAACACCTCGGAGAGCAACGAGCACGAGGCCGCTTACTCGTCGCCGCCCTCGAGCGCGTCGGCTTGCGGCCTCTGCCATCTGCCCTACAACAAGTCGAGCGTCAACTTCCAGGTGAACGTGTCCAAGTGCGCCGTGTGCCGTCGCGCCAAGGTGCCCGACGTCCTCTTCACCACGGTCGAGCTGCCCGAGAACGTGCCGATGACGGGCCGTGGCTGCTTTATCCAGGCCACCGTCTCCAAGGCCAAGAAGGACCTGCGCGGCGAGCTCAACGCCAAGGAGATCTCCGACTGTCTGCCCTTCCTCGAGTACGAGCTGCACAGTCTGCTGCTGAACAAGCTCAGGATGCGCGGCATGAACGCCGTGTTCGGCCTGAAGATCCAGGTGTCGATCGGCGAGAGGCTCGTCATCGGCATGGCCGTCGGCACCGCGGTCTACCTGACGGCTCTGCCGGCGCCCTCCCTGCCCCAGATCAACACGGGCAACTCCTGGCACGACGAGGAGCAGCTGGCCGAGATGCAGAAGAGCCTCGTCGACACCGTCAAAAAGAACATGGAGTATTATCAGCTGAAGCCGCCGGCCGTACAGGACCTCGAGAACGGACGATCCATGTCGGACACGGACGAGTCCGAGGACGAGCTGCCCGAGCTCGACCTCGGACTGGGCATGAAGGACGTTTGCGTGCTCGAGGTCGACGATCTCGAGGACATGGATCGGATCAGTTTGCTGATGGACGAGAGGCCGCCCAGCGACTTTCACGTCGTCAATACCGAGACCATTCCCGGCTTGGAGGATCTGGAGATCGTGCGCAATCTGCAAATGTTCACCCAGGTAACTTCGCTCTCCTCCTCTTATATGGGAGAATCTTTGAGAAAATTACTTGACCCCCTCCGTTCGTTTACAGGTATCTCGAGCTAAAATACCGAGCGGCCAGTCGACGTCGATGCCGTCCAAGTACTTTGCTCGCCTCCTGCAAACGATCTACTTCAAGCTGCGCCGCATGGTGCCCTGCGCCCTCTGCGATCTGCAGTTTCGCATCGCCATGCCCGAGCAGGACGAGATTCAGCTGTCGGTCATTGGCATGGCTCTGGGCTTGGGCGAGCCAACCAAGAGCAGCATCGGTCGGCCGAGGCGACGGCTGCTCTCGCACTCGGTCAGCAAGGATCAGATGAAACGAGCCGACAACGACAACGACATGATCTTTTGCCTCGACGAAGATCATCACGCCGACAGTGCGGATAGCAACGCTCAGCTGCTCGCCAATAACGCCACCCCGACGGGGCCAAATCTGACGGCCCAACACTCGATAAAACAGCGGCCCAGATCACCGCTGAGGATGAAGCACACGGTGCACAGACACAAACACGTACGATTATCTTTCTTATCGCAACGCGCGGCATCTTTTCGACGCTCGTTCAATTACTTGACGTACTGCTGTCGATGATCGAGACGACAACGACGGCTCGTGCTTATTCGCAGATTACTTCCTGATTAACCCGGAACTCGTCTATTTTACAGGTGCCCTTGAAAGAACGCTACGGTGTTGACATAACACCTCTATCTTATCTACCCGGTGGCCGAATCGAGAGATACCTTGGCAATTTGAACTTCTTCTTTATACGCGAATCCAATTCCATTAGAGAAGTAAATAAATCAGACTTGTTCATTTCCATTCGATAAAGAACAAAAATATCGATTACTTTTTGTTCGTATTTTTTCAGAACGGCGGTTTGAGCGGTTTCATACACAGCTTCGTCACGGAGGTGTTGGCCATAGTTCGAGCCCACGTCACGGCTCTCGGAGGCAACGCCATGGTGGCTTTTTTCATGACGCAATGCGTACTATTGCACAGCCCACACAAGAACCAGGTCAATATACTCTAAACATCTTGTACTCTTTTTTATCGATTCTCGATGATAATTTCTTTTGCGTATCGTTTTGCAGGGTCAATGCTTGATAAACGTCGGCGGCGACGTCGTGAGCGTCTCGTACTTTGGCAATGATAAATTGTCGCAAGCTCATACGCAAGCCCAAGCGCATCAATTACAGCAGCAGCAAACGCATTTGCTAGCTCAACAACTGACTCAACAGGCCACTATAACCGCTGTGAATTGTTGACCTCATTTGCCCGAAATAAATGCATAAATTTGTTCGTCTGCCTCGCGTGTACGCGTACATGTTTTTCAATTGATTGAATAGTAAGTTTAATTTAGAAAATGCTATCACCTTGATGTGTCTTAATTACCTGTAAGTCGGTTAGCGTTCTTATTATCTACAAGTCAGTTAGCGTTTTGTACTTATACATTTGTAAATATGTCTTGTATTCTTAATGTTGTTGTTATAAGATCATTGTTATTTAGTACTCCGATGCTGGATACATGTTACACTTGAAAAAATTGTTCCATTGTCAGTTTCAAACCTTGTACAAAAACATTTTTTAATTCAAAATTGTAGTTCTATGTAATAATAATAGTTTCAGATTTTTAAATGAGCTTGTTAAGTAACTTGAAAATCGTTCAATAGAAATTTGTATCTATTTGGAATAAAAATTAAAAAAAAGGCCCAAGATTACACTAAATTTCGGCGACGAACGAATAATTGTTTGTTCCATAAGAATTCTACGTAATATGAATAAAATTTGTACTTGAAAGTTGATAGTGAAGTGCCAATTGAAAAAAAGAAATGACGAAACAATCTTAAATTTTATTGAATAATCTCATAGAGATAAAAAATGTTCAAACTTTTATTCCGACAAGTCTGACATTTGATGTGTTCAGAGTCGAAGAAAATATCTACTTTATTCCAAAAATCGTGAACATGTTTTTTCTAGTCTTTACTTGAAAAAGTACACGTAGTTATTGTGAGAGCTGATAACTAAGAAAACACTCGATTTAATTTGGATAAGCGTCCGCGATGTCTGTTTCGTAGTTATCTGCAATCAAGCAAAGTGCATGGTACTTATTCTTATGTCTCAGTACTAAGAGCCAATAATCTAATTCAATTAGTTTTGTGGAAGCTTTTCAGTATTCAAATTATATACTTATAAAAAAAAATCAAGAGACATTTCTATGATAATTATATATCGAAACATCTTCGATGCTTGTACTTGCTGCCATGAATCTCTTAAATTTTACAATACAAAAACTAAATAAAAACTCGTGATAATTTTAGTCGATAATTCATACATATTTGCCTTTATAATGATTTTCAGTTCACACGCATATTTTTTGAAACACGTGATTGTAAATATTCGGTATATATTACAGGTGTAAAATTTTTCTCACGCTCATTTCAGGCTGCTCTTTTAACGAATTATATATTGAAATTGACGTGCGCCTTGGAAATAATTTTGTAAAAATGGAAAAATCTTGAATTGCGTGTTCTAAATTTGTTATCAGTATTAAAAACGTGGAGATTATTTTAATGATAATGTATGCGACCTCGTGCAAAGAAAGGACTCAATAAAGAATCATTAAATTTCAAATACCAAGAGAGCCAATTCATTACAAGTGAAATTTATAATGAGAAAAAAAATCAATTCGATAAATGTTGACAATTATATCAACTTTTTTCCGTTCCGTTACCTAATCGATGGCGACAGTGAATAAGAAATTTTCCAATTATCATTAACATATGAGGAAATCTTCGTAACCGTTGCACCTATCAGCGAGTTCCCCTCGTACAAAATATCGGCGACAGTTGTCTTATTTTTTTCCATATCCATCATCGTTTTTTACCAGGTAATAATCATCTGTCTCGCGCACGCACAACTCCTACCATTCATTGAAGCAAAAAAAAAAGTGACGTATTCTTTCTCTCTCGACGAAATATCAATGAAAATTAACCGTTCAAAGGTCAATTCGTAGCTGATCGAAGTATCTGATTAAACGAAACAATGACCCGCGCCGCGTGCCTCGCCGATGAAGCGCACAGCGCCTCGCGAGCCCGAGATATGTATAACGTGCGTAAATTATTACGCGCGAGAAAACGAGGAAAAAATTGCAAGGGCGGTGAGCTACGATGCTGTATCTGCGATGTGCGCGCTGCGTTGCTCGTGCCGAAATTTGCATTCGTAAAAGATTTCGTTGCCGATTCTTTTAGTCAAGAACGGCGCGATATCGACGATGCGTCAACGACATGGATAAATCGAGCGACGACGAGTGAGAAGGGGGGAGACCTACATTCGAGCGGTAATCATTCAAAACGATTCGCAGAATCATCGGCGAGCTAGTGTCTTTGAAAGGTCGGAAGGGCCCAAAAGAGGAGACTTCGAGAGGGACGCGAAGAAGGCAATTTTCTTGGTCGTCGCGTTGCATTCGAATCAATACATGTACTAGGCAAGTAATTTGTTTTCTCTTTATTAAGTATCAAAACTACTACTTTATAATACTGCGATACAGCAAAATGCCGATAAAATAATCGATATAGGAAGGAAGAGGAGCGACTATAGCTATGAAAAGAAAGGCCTCGAGCTGGGGAAAGCGGGCACTCCGAGGTCCGCGACGATGAGGGCGAAGTCGCTGCTCGAGTCGATGGCGCAGCAGTAGGTGTAGCCCTTGGTGGCGTCCTTGAACTGGGGATACTTGGCCTGGCAGGCGTCCAGCGGTGTGCACAGGTGATCGTCGGCCGTCATCATGCCGAGGTACGGGTCGTTCATCGTGACGAAGACGAGGCCGTAGTTGTGCACCGGGTCGTGCACGTACTTGTAGAGGTAGCGGGGCACCGTGAGGCTGCCGTCGCTCAGCAGGCTCAGCTCGACCTCCTTGCCTGCGAATCGAATCGCGGCGATCAATTTTTTTTTTACTCGAGTGCAATTGTAAGAGAGAGGACTTACCATCGGCGTCGGGATAGCGCAGATTGTCGAGGCCACCGGTCCACGCGTCCAGATTCACGGCCAGCTGTCCGGCCGTCGAGCGGACTATCTCCTCGACGAGCTTCCAGTTGCCCTCCTCGATGCTCTTCCACACGGGCAAGGTGTTGATGTAAAAGTACGTGCTGTTTTGCTGGCTCTTGTAGTACATGTCGCTGGCCGGGACCAGTTGGCCTTCGACGAGCCAATTCGAAGCCGTCGCTGCCGCTGTTGCTGGTTTCGTGGTCGTTGAAGTTGGCGACATCGTCGTCGTCGTCGTAGGAGTGCTTGGCAAGGTCGTCGTAGTCGTAGAAGTCGTCGTCGTGGAAGTCGTCGTAATCTCGGCCGCCTGCCTCGCGTACTTTTTCGACTTCCTCCTGAGCGCGGGCTTCTTCGGCCCGACGGCCAAGTACTTGTCGACCAGCTCGTCCTTCTTCAGCAGGGCCTTGAAGCGCGCCCTCTGCTGCTCGATGCTAAAAGTCTCGGGGCCGATCTCGACGTTCTCGTAAAACTCGCCCTTTTGGTAGACGGGCTTTCTGACGGAGGCTCTACGGCTGCGCAGGGCCGTCGTCACGGTCGACTTGGCCCAGGACGGCCGATTCTCCAGCTGGTTGAAGCAGATGCGCTCGATCGTCGGCAGGAACGCCTCGTTCCTCATGCTGAAGCCGATGCGGCCGATTCGGCCCTCGGGGCAGATCTCGTTCGGGTCGGCTCTGGCCACCGCTTGGGCCGGCTCCGAGCAGCTGATTCGGCCGAACGGAGCTACGTAGTTCGTGCCGACCTGGATAAATAAATTTCGAGCTCGTTGATGACGGAATCAATGGGAGGAATTGATGTGGCGCGAGCTCGCTCGAATAAATGAATTTGTCGAACGTATGTACGTACCACGTCGAAGAAGCTGATGGCGTAGCACTTGAGAGGGACCTCGGACGATTTGATGCTGGAGCCGAAGACGGTGACGTTGCCACGGGGACAGGCGACGCGGAGCCTCTCGCCGAAGGAGAATCTGACGCTGTCGCTCTTGGCCGTGTCCGGATAGATGACCTCGTTCGTCGTGTACTTCAACAATAGCGGCGCATTCTTATGGAAATCCTCCGTAACGTCGACCCAGCAGAACGTCGCGTCTATGGGGGGATACAGAGACAAATTAACGACCGTAATAATGACGACACACTTTTCCACCCTATTATTCGTTCCAGTTGCAGACTTACGAGCTGGCAGCGCAAAGTAGCCCAGCAGCCACAGCCAAACAGCTGAACTCCACATGTTTTCGGATGCTCGGCTTTGTACGCGCTTGTTCGTATACGCACTGTAATCGATGCACGACGCCACTCGATACCGTAACCAAGTTAAAACGAAATTACGAGATATTCGCCCAATTCGACGATCGGCGGATCACTGACGTCGATAATCGTAAAAGCTCGGCTTTTTATATGCGCGCATCGATTTTCTCAACACAATTGGCTTATCTTCTCCACTGGGCGCCCTGGATGGATGTACATTGCGAAACGCACGTTGCTGCCACTTTTTTTTTCTCTTTTTCCGCTTCGACAAAAGAGGTTGATCGTAATCAATGGGAGGCTTGTACAACTGATATAAAACTAAAAACCTGCTACACGCCTGGTACCGAGAACTATTTACCAGAACAGCGTGGATTTCGCTCAACCTTAGCTGATAATCGTTGTAACATTCTCAGAATTCATATAGCCCATTGACGAGTGAATTAAAGGGCGACGTCATTTTTCATCTTGTAGTAGCTAGACTTTACAATTTACACCGAATCTTTCAATGAGATTATCATTGCGGTTTCAACGACGAGAACGATGACAATTTTATACTGCAATCAGCCCAGTTAATCATACTCGGTAAATAAACAAGAGCACCTATGCAGCGATCTTCAAGAACATCTCTGCTCGAGACGTTTCTCCTTGTCATACCAATGGAAAATTAATAGGCCAATTAATAAATGATATACATGAGAAATTAGTAATCTTGTAACTCGTTTGTACAGAATGTGATAGTAAAAATCGAAAAATTTGAATATGTTTCCTTCGATTGCAAAACTAATGTATAGTACCAACGTAAGTTACCTGTTGCTTTGGTATCATCATGATGTCACGAGTACATGAACTCGTTTTTACATGGGACAAATAGGTATCGTGTCAATTATAATATAACTGCAAAAAGAAAAAAAACGCAACACGAGAGAGAGGGAGAGGAGAAAAAAGAAGGCAAGCGATGATAAGCAATAAAAAGAAGAAAGAAAAAAGGAAAGGATATTCCGATAAAAATGAAACTAATGGCCGCGATATTCTGTTACAAGTTCGAGCGTATAGATGTGCGAGATAAGAGCACGATTTCCGCTTTGAGGAAAAAAATTATTTAATGACATTTTCGTGTAACGCGCAGAATCGCGTCCCTTGCGACCCTATTTTTTTTCGATTCGGAATCAGAGTGATCGATTTCTCGAGTATTATGTTTTTCCCTATAGATAACACACAAAATAATCGTTCTCAAAAGTAATTTCCTTAAATATAGTCTTAGCCTTTTTCTACTCGCAATAAAGCAATAAATGCATAATCAATGAAAAAGTTCATCTCTCGCGATTTTTCTGCTACAGGCGAGTCACCTCTGTTGCTTGACAGTGTGAGTCACATCTAAAAAACTAAAACTTAGCCTGTGTTGAATATTTAGGGTTCGTTAATCCAAACTAACAATTTGAACGATCATTTTAAAAAGGCAAAGTTGATTGAAATATAACCAATATTTTTCTAACTATATCCTCGGTCAATTCACATGTGGACGTGGTACAGTTCATCTTTCCAGTTTATGCATTTGCGGAAGGTACGAATTTCGAGTTTCAATAAATAAAAGAATCATCAACAAATAAATGGCACCTATAATATCGAGTTCTTCACGCTCAAACTGGTGGATAATGTTGCGTCAAACCCTTTCCCATTGAAGAATTTTGCCGCTGAAAGATTCTACGCATTGATTTCCAATTTCATATGTGTATATAAGGAAGAGCCAACTTTTTTTCTCGAAAGTTTCTTTACATGTGCGACAGCAGCTTGCTCGAGTTTTCATATGGAGGTGAAAATATCGCGCGACATTCGACCCATGAGGATCTGTACAAGTACATCTAAATTATCAAGCTAGACGAAGCCCACGGACAGAATGAAATTTTAACTTTGAACTAACTATAAAGGAAGGATTCAGAAAAGTTTTGGATTCGTAATCACTACTTTATTTGTGCGCGAGCGGAAATTCCGTGAAAATAATATTTTCCTTCAAGGTATACCGATGTCAGCAAGAAAGTTGAGATGATCTACAAAAAAAATTTTTTTACTCAACGATTCAATAACATGTACAAGGTCTTCTTTTATTATGATTTTCAATAATGAAAAACTTTATCAAAGTAGTTCAACCCTTTAAAAGAAAATGTTATAAATTTTTAATTGAAGTGCAAGCAACTTTTAATATTAAAAAAATGTTTAATTTATCACTTGAAGCATGGCAAATCTGCAACAATCGATTATGGATGGACAAGTTCAAAGTTAAAATATGACGCGTTAAGCAGATTAGAGAACAATATTGCATCGAGGGATAAAAATATAAATAACACACATTCAGAAACGTATTCGTATAAATTATTCAAGAAACGTGAAAGCATATTTTTTTAGATTTCTTTCGATTTCATTTTAAAAAAAAGTTTATTGTGAATGTTTCGTCATAAATCGTTTGCCAGCTAATTCTTATTTTACTACAAAGGTCAGTGTAAATGAAAAAGCAATTTTTTTTTGATGACATAACTTTTATTGTTATTATACTTATTATTACATACTTTCAATGTTCTTTTTTTAATTCTGAACAATATTGTTAATCATACATTCATCGTAATTCGTATTTTACGAGCAAAAAAAAACATAAATTTGCTTCTTGCGTAGTTCCAATGAAATTCAGGGAGAAAAAAATCAATGCTAATAATTATCTCTGAAAGTTAGACGCCTCTATTTCCTACATTATTATAGTTGCATGTATTTTTCGGAGAAACGTTTGAAAAATAATGAATTATCAATCGAAATTTGGATAATCGCATTATCATCATTTAGCAAGTGATTGGTGTGCGGGTTTTTTTCTGTTGTATGACCGATGATGCAGAACAGCAACATATAAATTTATAATTTTTTTTCTTTTCACTTTCATAGCATGTAGCTCTATTAAATTTTGCTGTAAATTGTCAAACGCATCGGTCTTTTAAAATTTATTTTCATTTTTGGCGCTCAAAAATTGCGCATCCCAATGAATTATTTACGTATTAAATATGTTTTTTAATAAAAGCATTCAATTTAGTGTCTAATTAATTCATCAAGTTTTTCCTAAAATAATTAACAATACGATAAAATTGATTTTACAATGGTAGATGAAATTCGCAATACTGTTCGGTTTCTTTATCATTATGAAGATATTTAGATTGACTGATAATTTTAATATTGACTAGAACGCATAGCTCTTTGGCTGCTAAAAATGCAAATGTTACAAACAATAGTCACCTGAGAAAGTCTGAAATGTAAAACTCGCACCACGGCGACACGACGATTAAAAAATTTAAAATATCAAATCTTTTTTCATTGTACGATTAATGTTTTTTTTGTTTTATCATCAGAAAAATAGAGCGATCTGTATCAATACTAACCACTTTTCTTTGTAATTCGAATAATTTTTCCATAATTATTTCAAATGTCACATTGATGCATTTGCATCGAGAAGCGTGCTAATTTAATAATAACTTGTGCTTTTTTTATATTTCATTTATTAAACCTAATCAGACTCTTCCGTTGCAGCTTGTACATAATTATAATTTTTATACTTATTTATTACATAAAAATTTTTAATCTCATTCGTAGACATGTGTAACAATAATTATCAATTGATAATGCAAGTAATTAATTGTTGAGGAAGATTGTGATGCAGTGCAAAAGAAGAAATGGAAAAATATAATGCAGCTTAAAAAACGACTAATGTTGAAACGATGCCATCAACCTGCTACAAAGAATGACGCAATTACAGACTTATGCTAAGTAAGTACGCATGGAAAGAATAATTACTGTACGGCTGAACATAAAAATCGTAACGAAATAGATACATAAGCAAGTACAAGGACTATAACAATGTTTGCATGTAGTAAATAGACAGTTTAGCTTTTTTGTATCAACAATTAATTTTTTTTCTTAATCATTTTCATGTTTATGAGCTTTTTTTGTTGTTTTTTGGATTTTTTAAATTTTATCTCACGAATAATGCGTCAATCCAATAAATATATATATACATATTTTTCTTCCTTCAGTATATTATTGAAATTTTGCTCACTGCGTAATATACATATTATATTATATTATATAATATTTTCGTTTAATAGAAGGAAATGGAAACGTCAATAAAATGATGATGGCTTGACTTGAGTAAATATTTGTCGATCGGTAATTAAATATATAGGTATTATGTGCACAGGCATGTAATAGAGATCTTATTTTTTAATATTTATTTTAATTTTTGGTTGTTGAATCATTTGTTTCATCCCTTAGCGCCGTCTGCCGAAACGCAGAAACACGTGGTCCACGTCCTGGCGTTTCACCCCACTATCAGGCAGAGGGATATTTTCTCTCAGCACTGGAACTGTAAAAAAATGGCAATAACCAAAGAGCGACAGATTAATTAATCTATAAAAAGGAAAAGAACGAAAGGACGATGCGCAAACATAATAGAAAGACGCGCACAAATGTACGCAAAGCGCGTATTATTATTACATCGTCGTCCAATTAACTTTGTAATTGACGAAAGAATCTCGTTGGCGCGCCAAAGCCTCGTTGCGACATTTTATATTTTATATATTACAAGTATATATTAAAGGCTTTGAAAGTACGCGACAAGATGTTCCTTTATCTGCGCGTTCGCATAAAGGATCAGCGAGGGAAAAGTAGCTCGCGGACATACCGGAGATCGAGTGGCAAACTTCGTTTGGCAGCTACCGCTCCTGTGTGTAGTGTCAAACAGCCATGCTTAACATATATATATACGTATGTATATCTATTTAGGTGAGCAGCGCGAGCTCGCTCCTCTTTCCAGGGCTCCATACACACGAGAGCCGAGCGAGCGAAATGAGAAATTCCAGCTACCTACCTGCGAGACCTTGGTTTATTATATATATACAGGCCGAGTGCACACGCGGCGTTATATGTACACCGGAGCTAAATGCAGTTACGAGATGAATGGGTTTAGATTTACATTATTGATGTTTTGAATTTCAGCTTGGATTTGGATTTAGAGATGCTCGCAGCTGGGGCCGAGATGCCGTGAAAGAGGATAAAAAAAAATGTATTACATTCATATATAAATAAACTCACCCTTCTCGTTGATGTAATTTTCCATTGCCGAGCCGAGCTCGTAGAGGGTCGACAGGGCCGAGCAGACCTTGCGGATCCTCGGCGGCACCTCGTCCAGCAGATTCGGACTGCACTGGGTCGGCGGCATGGCGTGCACTTGATGCTGCGCCAGCAACGTCGCGAGCACCATAATGACCGCCAGAGTCAGCAAGCTCGAGATCGATACTTTGGATGCCATTTTTTGCCTCTTCTCTCTCTTTCTCGCTCTCGATTAAAACTACCTTCGTGCGAAATAGCTTGTTTCACCTGCGAAATTTTCATGAATAAATAAAATATCGTGGCTATCTCTCTCTCTCTCTTGCTCTCTCTCTCTCTCTCTCTCTCTCCCTCTCTCTCTCTCTCTCTCTCTCTCTCTCTCTCTCTCTCTCTCTCTCTGTCTGATCCTTTGCATAATGAAAAATTCGCCTTTGACCATGCGGGATACATGTAACGCATACATCGGAAGCCACGTCCTGGACCAGACTTGGGATTAATCCAGGACGAGCTTTGACAAATAGACTAGATGCATGATCCATACTTGGGATATTGCAAGGTGCGTCGCGCGATCCGTATAACGCACAGGTGATGGCGTTGTATTACGCCGCTTCTGCATGTTAATTAGTACTTTGGTAATTGAAAATCTGATCTCGTTACACGCACCAAGTTTTGCGCTCTGTTATTATCATTATAAGCGTGCAAACTTTGAGAGATGGAAGCAGCTACGTGCTAAATTGAAGTTAGCAATCGAGGATGGAAATCGATGGAGAAAGAGAGACCGATATATAGACAATAAAAGTGTCAAAGAAGCAGCAGCGCCAGCGACGGATATCATTCGTATCGATAAGAGAAAAGAGAGAGAAAGTCACGCGTGCGATCAGTAAATACTCATTACTGGCTATAGGCCAAAGTCTCTGCCGGATACACCGGATATTGCTCCGGCTCTTGCCTGAAATCTCGTATATACTCGCGTCGCGCAGCGAACTACACATTTTATAAACGATCTCTCGTCTAAACGGGCATGGCGTGCGCAAAGTATAGGCGAGAGCTCCGATAATATCGTGTACTCGCTCGCATATCTTTGCGAATATATTTGTGTTACAATCGATCATTTTCTATAAGGATAAAAAAAGAACCGCGCGAGACGAGCTAAAGGCAACGCACAACAAAAAAAGTAATTAAGGCATCGAGTACACTCGACGCGCGGGCGATAATCCATTATTAGATCGACTCACTTTGGCCTTTTTTTCGTTTTGTTGCCTCTTGCGCTTGGCAAATAGCCTCTTATTTCGAGTCCATTCGGATTCAACGCTATGCTCGCCACGACCCGGCTTATTACAAGGTCTTCGAGGGTCGTTGATTCCTCCAAATGAAAAAGAAGAAGAAGAAGAAGAACAAATTCGTAATCCTCCCTCACTGTACACATCTATAACATTGAATTCGAATTTATAACGTTTGACTGTAGAGCTTAATAATGGGATCTCTTGCCTTTCGAGCCCTTTTTTTGCAAAAGTCAACAACGCCTAATGGCGCGTACACACGTGTAGCAATTTTTTCCTTTTTTTTTGTGTAAATAAAGTGCGTTGCGTGACGTAAAATGCGAATATATAGTTTGATTCGCATGGAAAGGGTCAAGCTCGAGCAGTAGCAGTCGACACGAGGACGAGTCACGTGGATCTCGCAATACAAGCTCGCAACGCTTAGCGAGAATGGACTTTTCGAAAGATATAAAAATCGCTTCCTTGCGAATGCAGCCTCAATTCTTGAAACATATCGCAGAATCAAAGAAAACAGATGCAATCGATGAGTTTATATAAAGGCAAAATCGAGCGCGTGGCGTTACTATTTGCCCGGGCGGATAATACACTTTCCGAAAATAAACATTATTGAGCGCAAATCTGATCCTCGACGCAACTTTGCCCGGTGCGTCGCGTTGGAACAATATAATGGCTCAGGGCTTGTGTGTGTGTGCGTGTATCGTCTTACCTCAAGGATGTGACATACAAACGACATATAGCCGGCGCGTTTGGCCTACATATAATAGCCTCGTGACACGCATCCTTCCAAAACCATAAGAAAGAGAATAAAATACAAAGAGGAAGATAAGTGCCTCGTAAAAGTTATATATACTCGTTCAAGAGTTATACTTCTCATTTTCCGAATTAATCTCACTCGATAACGAATGTTGGCGCGTACGCATGTACGAGAGTTTTCATTATTGCTCAGCTCGCACCCAAGTGTATAATGTACGCAGCGCATACCAATCGAGCACGGAAATGAACCGAAAATACATATTATTTCAAAGTTATATTACATTTCCTGCGATCGTCCAAATTAAAATTGCTCAAAATGTAATTTCCAAAGTCTCTGTCGCTTTTTTGATATTCGAGATGGTCGCGTATTTATAGCTTCGTCGAGTCTGGCTGGAAAGGGACACGCACTATACTACTGCTATCTGACGCAATGAAGGAAAAAATGCAAATACTAGTCGGAACAATCTCGGCCATTTTTATTTTTGAGTAATTTACATTTGCTTTCTTATCGAGTTCATCATCGAGGTCCGCTTGGATTCAAATCGAGAGCCCGCGTCGGAACGCGCAAGGAGGCGCACTTGGTATCGCGACTCGTTTGCCCGTATCATAACACACGTTTCTCCGCTCGGAACCTGTTGCTCGTGCAAATGCAAACTGAAATCTTGTCGAGCCCGCGAAACAAATTCGATCGTAACACATGACGTCCCTCCGTTCGATCGAGAAAGAAAAGTTGGAAAAAAAAAATTGCGAAGCAAAGCTGCCGTTGCGTAAGCCAGCTAGCGTGCATCATTGAGAGAAAAGTCGAGTACGCGGCGAATCCTCTAAATTTTCGATTTACATGCAAATCGGCGGTAACGGCGACTTGCGCAACTCGCCGAGTGAAATAATAATGCATACGTATGTGCATGCAAGACAATGTGCGTATCTTCCACTTGCTTAAAGCGACAAGTAAAGCAGAAAAAAAATTGGTACCTGAATAGGAATTATATGTCACAAGTTTGCACCTTACTATAATAGATGCGTGTAGACGTGGCTCTCTCAAATACAGAAATCTGTAGGTGTGTGTATATCTGTGGTATAGTAAAGCAAAACTCGACTCGAGTCCATTTCGAAAAACGGGGTCTATTTAATATGTTGTCGACTATAAGGTGCAAGGGTCAGAATAGATGAGAAAAGAGCCACGAGCATGAACTGAACCGAAATTATCTATATTCGAAAAAGTTGCAAAACTTTTTGCAGCGCAACAGCTCCCGTAGGCACGCGCCCTTTAATTTGACAAATGCACAGGGCAAAAGTTAGCTCGCTGCAGTTGAAGATACGATAGCGTCGAAGCTCCAGTCGTCCGCGTCGTAGATAGAGCAGTCGAGTGCAAGTGAAAACGGATATTTTTGAAGGAAAAAAAAAAAACGAAAGCGAGCGTGTGGGAGGTGAATGGGGCGAAACGCGTCATCGCTGCCTGTGCATACATACTCATACCTATACTATTGGGTCACAAGCTTGCAGGAATAATCTGGTGGGGCTTCTTAATAATTCTTGCTCGCTCACAGCGAGCTGCTAGCGTTATAAACGATGACTATATACCGCACCTCGCGACAAACAACAAGTTTAATTTGCACTGTAATCCCCGCGATAAATGCCTTGGCCATATAGCATCGGCGCTGGACGCGGCAACTCTCGCGTACAACAAACTTTTCAGCTTACGCGGAGCTCGAGCTATAATACGTGCCTGCAACGCGTATGGCCAACAAAACGAATGGCTGGAGTACTTTGTTTTGGGTAAATATTAGATTTACCTCGTACGCAGATACGCGTGTGCGTCGCATCGGGCGCTCCACCGACGCCGAAGGGAAGAAAATTATTTCCCCCGCGTATGAAATTGCACGCGCGGACTTTTCCATCTGTGCGTACTTTGTTGTTTTTTCTTCTACCGCGCGTTATTCGGCTGATCTTTTCTTATTTGGATCGATCTCTGGTCGAGAGAGAAAAAAATACATCGCAATGTATCGGCGTACCAGCGCAGGATCCAATAATCTTTTGCTCGTCCTCGTGCCGATGAATAATAATTCGACTGCATATAGGCAAAACGTTAGCTCAACGAAGAACGTTAGTTCGTGTCGACGAAAGAATAACACCCCGTGCGCGCGAGTGCGCCGTTACAGGTCAATTCCTATCGCTTTGCAATAAGACAACGGATCAGAGAAATAAAAATGGCTAAAGTGGAAAACAGTTTTAATATACAACTTTTCAGCGCGATTGTAAACAGTCGCGCGCACACTTGGGAAATGATTTCTCTATTACGATCTCGACGTTACGAGTATGTATGTTCGTTTCACCATTGACTCTTCGGTGCGCCGCACATATAATGCAACCATCTTTCTAGTTCATTTAGCGTTTGAATCGTTGTGGCTTGTAAATAAATTTTCATTTCTCTTTGTCCCTCGAGAAATAAAAAAGAAAAGAAATAAAAAGTCAACGATTGAGACAAATTTTTCAGTGATAACTATCCGTCGAGCTCAATCCCACCTTTTTTTGATTTAGCGCTATAAAATGATGCTCGGTCGGTCGTCCTTTTTCCGAGATACCAAAAAGGATCGTATATTACTTTAAACGAAAAACAATGTTCCATGTCCGTTCACGAATGAGCGATATAAAGTATGTGTAAATCGCGATGAAACTTTTGCAGCTAGCGGGATTTTTTTTTTTTTTTTATACATAACGTATGATGTTCTTTATAACTCTGGGCGCGTATGTTGTAAAATATAAACAGAGCTGAGGTATTTATTATATGTGTATAGGTCGTATAATAATGAGTGTTCATATGCAGAGGCTGCGACAGTATCGATGACGCAAAAGTCCGCTACTGATTTTTTTTTGTTACCGCACCGCGACCTTGTAAAAGTCTTGATTGGCAATTTGAACCATAGCAATCGATTCATTTACATCGAATTAGATCGTGTGGACGAGACGAGAGAGAAGAGGCATTTTCCCCCGCGTAAAATCAAACGAAATTCGGGCAAAATCAATTATGGGACTCTCATTGGTCTATTTCAATTTTCCCGTATAAATTCAATTTATGTTTCTTTTTTGTCCCGCCTGACCGCAAAAATAGACTAATGCCTATGTATGGAAAAAAATGCACGAATGCGTAAATTATATTACATAGATACGAAACCGACGGCCACGTCGTAAAATCTGTTTCGGGCGAAAAACCAAATGATACAAACGATGAGTGTGTAAGAAAAAAGGGAATCGTGTTACACTGACTTAATATTTGTATAGCTCCGAGGAAAATCTCTGTTAAATTGCTCTCAGACTAGAGAAATAAACACCCATCATTTTTCTTCTTCCCTTTTTCCTTGAACAAACAATATTGTGCAGCGATACTCGTCGCCCTGGTATTATTATCTGAGACTTTGATTCCACTTCATGCAGCTCGTATGAGATGATTATTGCACTTACTCTAGCTATAATAAATTACACGAATTCTCGCGTGCGTTCTCCAATCGACTTTCTTCGTATATTTTTCTCTGTCATTTTTTTCTTTTGAAGCCATGCCGAAGCTACGTTAAAAAGATTTCAAATGCGTTATCTAAGATTACCAAGGAACATTTCTTTAAGTCCCTATAAATTGAGAAGATGTTCACAAAAGGTATCCTAGACGTTGCTTTTTAGAAAAAACATTCCGTAGAAAAGATGGAAAATTCTTTTGAAAATGTTCAATATAATGCTGGCTTCGAAAAAAAGGCGAGAAATTCATTATAGTTTGAGCGAAAAGTGCGTAATCGCGAAAAGTCTACTTAGCAATGGCTGCGTGTCGACGAAAATTTACTTGGGCTTGCATATTCCTCGTAAGAAAAGTTAAGGTACGGCCATACTTACTGTAAGTTTGAGTGTGACTGAAATTGGTTTCACTAGAGCGATAACACTGCTGATTAAGGTTTGTGAAAAGGTTCCAACAATTTTTTCGAAAATCTCAAAGTTTTTGAAAGTGGCAGAAAACTTGAATCACAGTCAAATAGAAATTCAGCTGGAATTGAAATTACAGCGAGTAAATTTTTCCAAGTTTTTGGACTTTTTAGCAAATTTGCGAAAATTTAAGAAGCTTTACATAAAAGGCACGCACCAGCTGGTATTTGGCTGAGTCGACGTTACAAGTCTCAGCCCTGAAATTGGACCTGCTCCAGCTACAGTTAAACTTACGACAAATATAGCCAACTGTTAACTCTTTACATTTCATCAAATCTCTGCATATTTCTCATCTTCTTTTTGGCTTTACAAATTTACAAGATGTATTTTCACTTGGGTACGGAAATACAAATAAGAAAAACTTGGATATCGCAGCAGATGTAAGCAAGTCCCGAAAACGGCTATAATCTTGTGAGATTGCAGATTTCTCGCCTTGGCCAGTGATACTCTCAATGATGTGCAGTAGGTCACGCAACGCACAGGTGTGCGCGCGGGCCCGTCTATACGGCTCGCAGCCGCGCCACGTCGATTTTGTCCAACGATTCACAAAATTAAACAAAATGCGACGGAGCCAATTGTAATCCTAGAGGAATCGCGCGGATAAAAATTAATCAAGTCCCTTTGGCGAAGTGGAGATATCGTAGAGAGAACGGCGCGATGACGAAATTGCCAAGAATGACCCATTTGCGGCGTGCGTACGAGGGCCGTAAAAAGATTTTAGTACAGAGACGAGCAGAGGGACGGCGCTTGTATGCTGCACTAGGTACGGAGACGTAAGCAAGCTCGTTGATCGAAATTATAGTGTATCTCCGCGACCTGAAAAAGTTACTGCGCATCTCGCAAGCTTCATAAACGACGGAAATGAGTGCATAATAATATGGCGCTTTTGGCGCCGATCCGCCTGCAGCCCGCATCGCTTGTAGGGGAGCCACGTTAGTGCAGCTGTGACGCCCGCGTAAAAACGAAAGGAAAAAACATATCGTCGCGTTGCGAAAGCTCTTGGGCTGCATCTACACTTTGCGAGTCCGTGCTTTTGAATACCCGCGCTTATGTGTACGAAATTACCGATTTTCCTCGGGCCTTTACGTCGGCAAAGTTAAAAATATTTTTACTGAATTTAATGATGAGTGAATGTAACACGTGAAATCTTTAAACAACTGCAAATGTATCGAGTAGCGTGCAATTTTTCTGAAGAGGATTTTTCTCCTTGGACGAACGAGCATCGTCTTTACTCGTGAAATCCATTTGTCAAAGAGCTCAATGAATATTTACCAATGACGAATTTCTTTGTACAAAAACCATCTAGGCTGCTATTGAATCTGATCAATTATTCAATGTATATTTTATATAGCGCTCGGTGCGGGACGTGGTAAACATTATCGAGTTGAAATCGATAAAACGGTTTTAGTCGAAAGAAAAGAAAGAAACAGCTAGTAGTAAAACGACCGATAACGTAAAATAGAAGAAACGTGTGGCTCGTCGGCTACTCGTGTGCATCAATTGAGATTCAGCGGGGACATGGACTCATTATAACTCGAGCAACAGTTTGCGGTCGCATAACAGGTGTGCGACGCAGTAATTAACGACTTTCGGACGTGTCGCTTATGCATCGATTTTATTTTCAATCTTTCGCCTCTTTTTGTCTCCTTTCTCCTTCAAATTCTGCTAATTTTTTTGTGAAAGAAATAGCCTTTGAGTGTCATAAGCCAATCGAAATTTCGGATCCACTCGCACTCACGAGAGAGAGAAAGAGAGAATTGAAAATCATTAATCGACTGTATTCAAGTCTTTAGCAAATACGCGAGTATTGGGTCCAGCTACTCGAGTCGAAAAAAAAGACACTTGAAAAATTAGACACAGCATAGGAAGAAAGAAAAAATTGAGGAGAAAAGTTATTAACTTACCCGCAAAATCAAAACTCGAGAGCTGCGCTAGAAGTTGATACTTTGATTCTCGAAACGAGGGGTGAACTACCAAGTTAACTCGACGTGACAAACGCCTGCGCCGAAATCCTTTCTCGGGATCGGGACAAAAAAGGCAGAATCTTTGGCTCTCTTTCAACACTCGAGCTTCTGCTGCTATCTTCTGCTGGGTATTCTCCGAGATGTTTTTGGTAAACGAATGCACCTCCTCTCTCCGATACTTATGGTGGATGGTGGTGAGACGAGAAGAAGAGTAGAATGGATTATGGCAGTGGCAAGCTCGGCGCCGGCCCTTAAATAATCACACAGGCGCGCTTCGAAGCTCTCTCGCTCTCTCTCTCTCTCGCTCGTTGGCGCGCGCGCCCGCTACCCCCGTCACTTTCTCTCTCTCTCTCTCTATCTCGCCGTGCGTATGCATGTTCAAGCGAGAACATGTACGCGTGTGTACGCGCAGATTCTACCTGCGCATTCGCGAGTACCATCGACATCATCGGGAGAACAATATGTATATAGCATACGGCTGTGTGGGTGTATACACGAAAGTTAGATCGGATCGCCGCATGGTAGCGGCTACACCGAGCAATATACATTAGAATGGCATACGCGTGGGTGATTTCTTTTTTCTTGCCCCTCCTCCTCATTTCCCCTAATTCGATTATCTCTACAACTCTTGATATTTCTTTTTTCGTATATTTTGCTTCGTGACCGCGTAAAACATTAGAGCAACAATAGAATCAATGAATAAAACATCGAGTATACATCGAGGTCTAAGAGAAAGATCGACAATTGCGCACCGAGTGCACAAGATTTATCGATCTAGACGAGTGCAATTTTATACGCGCTCTCGAGTGAAAAAATCGGCATTCGAGAATTCGACCTCTTTCGCGACTCTGCCTGCCCGCATGTCATTTCTTTTTTACAGCGTATTAATAAAACCTATACGTTGTTATGTTTATACGCGAGCAGTCTCGAGCTTTTTGCGGAAGTACATGTGCGCTTAGCCGTACGAAGTAGATCAGACAAATATTTTCGTTGGATGAAAAAAAAAAAAAAAGATAAATTGCTTCTGTTTTCTTACTTTTTTGCTGGTTTTTTTACTTGGCCTTTTGAAAAAAACCCGCAAAGGGATAAATATCGACGGCCAATGGAAACGTATACGTCTCTCAGGCGTAACTTAATTAGAGATTAAATTGAGGAAAATTAGTTTACTCGGTATATATATTAATGCCACGCGCGCATCTGGAAGTTATAGAGAAAAAAAGGGAGAGCATTGTTTTTTCTATGTACTTTGATTGTTAAACAAACTCGACGAGCATGAGTATTTGTATAATTACTAGTCCATTATTTAATTTGCGGCGAGAAATAAAAATGGGAGCAGAGAGTTTAAAAATTAATTAAAAAGTGCATGTAATGTAGATGAGTATAAAATAGTGTATGAAAGAAAAATTGAGAGGATGATTTGTTTCAGATGCAGCGAACAGCAAGAGACTAAAGTATACATTTTTTTGAATGGACGAGTGCGGGGTATTGGTAATATTTTTATCTCCTCTCACTTTCTCGTGCTCGTGATCTATATAAATTTTGCTCTCTGTTTTTCGCACGAGGCCAATTACAAAACTTGGGACTTGACTCAACTGCATGAAAATGCACTTTTACCAACGTGTGCATCAAAGCATCAGTTAGAGTTTAAATATAAGAAGAACTAGAGTAAAATTGTTTGTTATTGTCTCATTTGTTGTGAAAAAAGCGGAGATGAAGAAAAAGAGAGAGATATCTAGGATGATTATTTATTCAGAATCGTCAAAGCATCGCTACGCACGATGTAGGCATGCGCAAGCTATATATACCGACGACATCTAATTCAATGTATTTAGCGAGAGACGCCAACGCGCTTTGTGTCATCTCGCGACGCACTAAGCTTGATCGAGCGAGACGCGGCGAATCCTGCAGCAGCAAAAGCTCTTTGTATGCATCCTATATAGCGGAGGCCGCTGCTGCGTGTGTGCGTTTGCCATTATAACGTTCTCCCCCTCCGACTCTGGCGTACTGCGTTAACAGGTGCAATTGACAAAGCTCGTGATTCACCTTCTTTTAAGCGCCGCCGCTGCTGCCAGTGTCTCTCCACTGTCCCGGAAAATCAAGCAACTTTGCCAGTATGCGCGTACTTTTTTTTAACGGCTTCTCCGCTCGTTGCATCGCGCCGAGAATTGAAAAGTAATCACCGACTGCTTTTTCTCGAACTGCGCCGATGACGCCTGTTATAATAATGCTAATAACATTATATGCGACTCGAGCTGGCGACGATGACGCCCGGCGGCGTAGCTCCCGTAATGTAACGTCGCTTTTGCTTATGTGCTACGCATTGTGCCGAGCCCCGTATTATATATTATATATATATATATGCCCCTGGTACTCCCGAGCGAAATCTCGAGCTCGAACGTCAGTGCGACTGCACACAGTGCATACATGACACTTTTTCCTTCCATGTACCGCATCCAATCTCATGCCATTATGATTTCTCGCGTACGCCAGAGTTCAGAGAGAGAGAGAGACAAGAAAAAGAATTGCTCGCTCGGACAAGATAAACAAAAACCGAAAACGAATACATAAATGATGATAAGAGTACTTCGAGCGGGATGAGTAAGACAAACGTAATACGTATTGGGTTTATCCTCCTGCTGCCGCTGCCCGGAGCTCGAGAAATTCAAGCCTCCCTTTTAAAGGTCAATATACGGCAAAACCGTAGCGCGCGTCTTTGCGCTTTTTCGACCTGTAGCTATCTCCAAGAACGTGAGTTTCCATTGCGTCAGTCGAGCAAATAACTCCTCCTTTTCTTCTCGAGACTCCTTTTCTCGTACTCGTTCTCAGCTCCTCTTGCTTCTTCTTGCTTTCTTTGTCTCTTCGCCACTAGTCTAAATTTAAAGTCCGCGCAAATCCTGCGAGCGCGTACGAGGCGTATATCCAACAACACCTCGAGAGGCGCGCGACCAACCGCTAGCCGCGTCTAGTAAATTGTTTTTGCCTATATTTGCGCTCCGATTCGATCGATCGAAAAGGAAGAGAAAACACGAGTGCGTATACAATGTGAATGGCCTGTGCGCGTCATCGAAGAAAAATTAATTTTTCACGCGCGGTTAGCGAACTCGAGCCACGAGGGATGGGGGAAAACTAGAGCAGCGAATTTTTACCCGATAAAACGTGGAATGTTTATATTCCTCGCCTATACCCACACGGGCCAACATTTCGAGTGCGTACGAATCCTGCGGCATTATTATTCATTATATCGGGTACGTTTCCCTTACATCAACTTACAAACTGGTGATAATCTCGAGGAAAAAAAACTTCACCCGGCAAAATGTGTATTTTTCTCCATCGTGGCGATCTGCAACAAATTGTGCAATTGTTTAAGCGTCTCTCAAGGTTTTGCCTCGGTACATATATATTCATCGTGTACAATATCTCGTATTATATATAAATACGGCTGTATTCACCTTCACGCCCTTGCTTTAAATTGACTTACACATTTTTTCCTTGATAGCAAATTTCATCGATACATTTTTACTCACTTTTTTTATGCACGTACACTGATTACATCCATTCACCTTGATAAAAAAAATGCATGACATGGCCTTTTTCTTCTCTCTCTCTATTTTACTCGAGTCTTTTGTAATGCTGATACATTGTCACGTCAAGTCTGTGTACAATTATGCTTGTTGAGTGTCAGATCCTGAGAATTAAAATGCACTACGAGAGGATTGACACGAATAACCATTTTCGAACGAGAAAACTCATTTGCGACAGGTGAGAGATGAGAAATTTCAAACGAACGAAAAGAAAAACAGTCGAGTTTTACACGTAGCGACGCATGTGGGAGTCATTGTAAGATTGAAAAAGTACATTCGAACGTGATCGCGTATCTCGTACAAAATTAATAATTTTCGTTTGATATCCGATCTGTATAGACGATCGGATAAAGGTATCGTGTCGTGACAGAAAGGGCCGGTAAAAAGATGCGTCAGTAAAAATGAAGAATAAATCACGAAGAATGCGAAAGCTGCTCCGAAAGCTGCATTAAGCTAAAAAAAACTCCCGCTCATTTATAATATATTCCTCATCGTCGTTACATCAATTAATATACCATTATCTATTAATAGATAAGTTAACTTGCTTGTAAATCATTTCGGGCCAACGTCAGCTATTTTATTTTTCAATCCGATTGCAGCTGGGATGAAGAAGAGAGAAAAAAAAGTTGTTACATTCGCCTATATATATCGAATTAAAGTAAGCTTTATAACACTGAAATTTTTTGGGGATAAGATTTTTTTGCGTAGAAAAAACTAAGTACGATCAATGAATCTGCGTAAGCGATGTTCGTGACACGAAATGCATCTCGAGATGGAGTGTAAGCGATCCTCGCACGTTTATCTAGTAATTCATATTACGGAAGACGACGACAAAAATTACAAGTTCACTTGAATAAAAAGCGAGGAAGTGGCAGCTACTACACGTACCCCTATTTGGGTAGTTTCTTGCTCGCTATGTGCTTCCAACTAATGTGATTGTGAATCTGTGACCGACCAAGCGGTCGCTGCGATAAAAACTAACTAACTATGAACACAAAGGCGGCGCTGGCCATGTACAATCGCAGTCACAGCGAGAGAGAAAGAGAGAGAGAGAGAGAAAAGCTATGCGAAAAGCGGTGAATTTGAATTTTAGGTAGTTTTTACCCGACGGAAAAAAATCCGTCGCATGTGAAATGAGATGAACCTGCTGGTGTGCATCGCGCATTTTTAAATAGATAAAAAACACTGCTGTCTTGGAAGCTGCGTAGAAGTACGTCTCGTAGTTTGCAACTTCTCCAGTAGTCAGTAGAGCACGTCTCACTTCCGCGTGGTATCTCGATACAACTTACATAATTGCCCACATTGAGGCATTTAATATTTTAATATTTTACGCCATGGGTCAGCAAATAATCAACTGCGACAAGCAACCAGGTACATTGAACTAGTTTTTCATTAGTCTAGCAGCCACACAGGTTCCCGCTTCATAATGAATACCGAAAGATGAACCTAGGTGTTTTCCTCGTATTTTTTCCGGCTGAACACAAATTTCGGAGGTGGACATCGATCCGAGTGGCAATTTTTTTGTTATTAAAAATTTAATTGTTTAAACGGCCATTAAAAGTTAAAATCGGTTTATTAGAAAAAAAGTTATGGACAATTTTGTGTTTTTTTGTTAAGTCGAGCCAAATCTACTACTTTCGAGTCTTGAACGATTTTTAATTTGTTATATATGCACCGGACGAAAAAGTTACATGAGAAACTTTTTGTTTAGAATCGTCCAAGGAGTCGAAATACATTTTTTATTTTGCAAAATAAGCAATTTTTTCGCAGTAACAATTATTTGTAAATTTTAATTCTTTTTTTCTGCTGGACACGAATTAAGAGGTTAGAAATCAATCCGAGTAGCCGGTCTATTGTTCTTAACAATTTATGAAAAATTAAATTTAGGAAAAATATAACAAACTTTTAATTTATTAATAATTAAAAACAAGTTGATTCCTAAAAGAATACAGGTTCTCTTTCCTCCTGTCGAACTATAACTTCCGCCGTGTAATTGCAAAGTTTGCAGTACAAATACATGTTCTTGCAAAAAAAATAAAATTTTGTGTTCAAATTTTTATAAATTCGTTGTCCAGCAGAAAAAAATAGGAAAAAAACATCTTTTTTTTTTGCTTAAAAAAAATTAACAAATAATTGTTATTGCAAAAAAATTGTTTATTTTGCAAAATAAAAAAGTATTTTGACTCCTTAGACGATTCTATACAAAAAGTTTCTCTTGTAACTTTTTCGTCCGATGCATATATAACGAATTAAAAATCGTTCAAGACTCGAAAGTAGTATAATTGGCTCGACTTGACAAAAAAACACAAAATTGTCCATAACTTTATTTCTAATGAACCGATTTTAACTTTTAATAATTCAATCTCTTTGTTTTTTCATTTAGAATAGAATGACGGACAATTGTTTTAATTTATTTTCAATAGTTATCGAGTTTTGGACGTTTAAACAATTAAATTGTTAATATAAAAAAAAACTGCCATTCGGATCGATGTCCACCTCCGAAATTTGTGTACAGCCGGAAAAAAAACGAGCAAAACACCTAGGTTCATCTTTCGGGATTCATTATGAATCGGGAACATGTGTGGCTCCTAGACTACATCCTTTTTTCTTTTCGTATATTTATCGATTTTCCTTTTGTTTACAATGCTACACGCTGTATATGCACTATGCACGAATGCCTTGACTCATTTTCGTTTATTTCATGTATCCATTATTCGATACGATATAATAATTTGAAAGAAAACATCGCGCTACTGATGACTCTTTTGCATGAGGAAGCTGCGGAGAAAAAGGTCTTGTGGGAAATTAAGTGCGTCGCCAAGTAATCTTGCGCACTCTCGAGTATACATACATCTCTAGCGCGTCCTTTTGTAATGGAAATGCTGTCAGGCAAAAGCGCATAATGCGGTAAACTCATGTATTTGCTGCTACTGCTGCAGCAGTTTCCCGAGTCATGATCTCTCAGAGTTTCCATCATAATTACCGTTTTCCTAATTTTTTTTTCTTTCTTTTACGACTCACAAAGTCATCTTGATAGAGTGGCCTTAGCGAGCTTATTTGGTCCTATTGGATTATATTATTCGTAAAGCATTCGAGGCACATTGTGTGTGTATATCAGTGTTTGAGCAATCGTTTTGAAAACTCACGAGTGTAAATCTTAAACTTTTCGGAGCAATTTTTTTTAACTCTTAGAGGATCAACGTACACGTCATATGGCGCCAGGTTAATAATCTGAAAATATTTGATGATAATTTATGCAAATGTCAAAAGCTTCGGATAACTTCCATGAAGCAAACAATTGTTGTTGAAAAAAGCATATTTTAAAATGCTTCCAATGCCAGACCAGGATTGAGGTATAATTTTACTTTGAAATAGTTTATCAAATTGTCTCAAAACTTGTAGCCTTGACTCGGTGTCGATCTTTTAGCATGAAAGTATATAATACATTAAATAAAAATAATTTCACCTCAGATTACATCAAGAAAGAGAAGCCGTACAAAAGTGCCAAGTACGAGGCAGCCTTCCGGGAATCACTCGAAAATCCGGAAAAATTCTGGTCCGATATCGGCCACTATGTGGACTGGACCAAGCCATGGGATCGAGTGCTCGACAACAGCAACGAGCTCTTCACCAAATGGTTCGTGGGCGGCGAGACGAACGCCTGCTACAACGCCGTGGACCGTCACGTGGCGGCGGGCCTCGGCTCGAAGGTCGCCCTCGTCCACGACTCGCCGATGACTCAGACGATCCGCAAAGTCACCTACGCCGAGCTGCTGGACCAGACCTCGAGACTGGCCGGGGTACTGCACGATCTGGGGGTGAGGAAAGGCGACCGAGTGATCATCTACATGCCGGTCATTCCCGAGACCATAGTGGCTATGTTGGCGGTGGCTAGGTTGGGCGCCATCCATTCGGTCGTTTTTGGCGGTAAGTAATTCAAAAATTCGAGCGTAGCGCATTTGATTCTTGTTGGAAAAAAAGCAGAGCGCAGGCACAAAGCTCGAATCGATATGCAATTTACGACAGTCGTGCTTTTGGAGGCTGGATTATGCCTTTTTAATAGGCGCCCGACTGTACAAGACTTTATTAATAAAGTCGCGCGTTGTTACGTGCGCCATCATTAAAATCCGTTTCTGCTGCTGTGCTTTTGCCGGCTGATACGCGCCGGGAGATTACGCGTCACGCTGCATGTGGACGCGTGACGATTGAAAAATTCGTTATCTTTGTTATGAGAAATAGCGTAAAAGTTGGCATGTAATCCGCGTCGCTCGCCATATATCCTATACATAGTTTTCTGCGCAAACTTGGCTCGTGCCTCGACTGATATCGTACACGTTGGCTTGCATGATGCATCGTGGTACGTAGGCTACGCAGCCAAGGAACTCGAGACGAGAATCAATCACGCCGAGCCAAAGGCCATCATAGCTGCTAGCTGCGGTCTCGAGCCCAACAAAGTCGTCAGGTATTGTATATCGACATATATATCTATGTATATAGGGCATTTGCATGTTAGCCTCGGTGCAGGCGCAAAACTTGGCTAATTAATCGATCGATCCACTATATATCGTATTATCTGGACCAGAGACACGAAATAATGGAGACTCGGTTGGAATTGCTGCACACAGATACGCGGACATGCTGAACGAGGCGCTGAGCAGCGTGAGCGCGCCTCGGCCCAGCTGCCTGATCTTCCAGCGTCGGCGGATCTGGTCGGCCGAGCTGCTCGATCGCCAGTACGACTGGGACGAGCTGATGGACTTGGCCGAGCCGCGTCCCTGTGTGCCCGTCGAGGCCAACGAGCCCCTCTACGTGCTCTACACGTCGGGCACGACCGACAAGCCCAAGGGTGTGCAGAGGCCACTGGGCGGCCACATCGCCACTCTGTGCTGGAGCATGAAGGCCCTCTACGGCATGGACAAGGATTCGGTCTGGCTCGCTGCGTCGGATCTCGGCTGGGTCCTCGGCTCGTCCTACACCTGCTACGCGCCTCTGCTCTGGGGCTGCACCAGCGTCATTTACGAGGGCAAACCCGACAGGACGCCCGATTGCGAGCAGTACTTTAGGTACAACGATCCTTTCCTTTCCTTTGCTTTATCAAGGGCTCAAAGGGGGCTTAAATAATTATTATTTCTATTTATAGTATTATAAGCTGAAAAAGTGAAAAAAAAACATTTTTTTCAGAAAACAGGCATAAGAGCCTTTTTCAATACCCCATTTTAAAGTACTTTGTCCAGTTAAATACTTACAAACACTTAAATTAACTGGTATCAGCCTATGACCCTTCAGTGACCTAAGTTGTATGTCATTTCATTTCCTTTGATGGATTATTATCCATCAACGCAATCTCAAGCTAAGCATAAGATCAACTTTGACTACTTCCACATACAATTTAATAGAATATTTTATTCATTAATGATTACTTTTGATAAATTTTAATAAAATATTTTATTAAATTATATGTGGAAGTAGTCAAAGTTGATCTTATGCTTAACTCGAGGTACCGTCGATAATGATCCACCAAAGAAAAAGAAATCACATACAAATCAATCGTGTCATGCAAACACTTGGAATCTTACGGCAAACAGCTTAGATATGCCAAATGCTCATCGCTGAAGGTTCATAGACTTATACCAGGTAATTTAAATGTTTGTAAGTATTTAACTGGACAGAGTACTTTCAAATGGGGTTATTGAAAAAGGCTCTTATGCCTGTTTTCTGAAAAAAATTTTTTTTCACTTTTTCAGCTTAATACTATAAATAGAAATATATAATTATTTTAGCCCCCTTTGAGCCGTTAATCGAGCTCTGTTTAACTCTGTTGCGCGTGCGTCTGCTCCGCAGACTCGTCGAGCAGCACAAAATCAACGGGATATTCACGGTGCCGACGGCCTTCAGAGTGCTGAGGGCCGTTGATCCACGCTCGCTCGTGGCGAAAAAGTACTCGCTGAAAACGTGAGTATTTAATGTACGATTTGCCGGTGCGACTGGCGTGTTCCCGTAATCCGCTTGACGATCTGGCATTTTCTGCACGACCAACGACGCAGGCTGAAGGTCATATACGTGGCCGGCGAGCACTGCGATCACGAGGCCAAGACCTGGGCCGAGAAGAGCTTCAAGGTGCCGATTCTGAATCACTGGTGGCAGACCGAGACCGGCCACGCCATCACGGCCACCTGCCTCGGCCTCGAGCAGAGGAGCGCCGATCAGCCCGAGTTCAGCGCCGGCAAGCCCTTCCCCGGCTACGACGTCCGCGTGCTCAGGGAGGACGGCAACGAGGCCGAGCCCGACGAGTTGGGCAGGATCGTGGTGAAGCTGCCCCTGCCACCCGGCACCCTGTCCAGCCTCTATCGAGCCGACGACAGATTCAAAGACACCTACTTTTCCAGACATCCGGTGAGTGTGACGAGTGTGGCTATTCGACAATCGATCACGACGATCGATCCCATTTCGCAGGGCTACTACGACACGATGGACGCGGGCTACGTGGACGCCCGAGGCTACGTCTACGTGACGGCCCGCGACGACGACGTCATCAACGTGGCCGGACACCGGCTGTCCACCTCGGCCGTGGAGAACGTCGTGTTCGCCCACCCGGACGTGAGCGACGCGGTGGTGTTCGGCGTGCCGGACCGCACCAAGGGCCAGATCCCGGCCTGCCTGTACGTGCCGAGGCCCGGCCTACCCGGAACCGAGGAGCAGCTGACGGCCGAGCTGGTGGCTGGGGTGCGCGACGCCATCGGGCCCGTGGCCTCGTTCAAGGTCGCCGCTGCCGTCGAGGCGCTGCCGCGGACGCGCACCGGCAAGGCCTGCAGAAAAGCCATTTCCGATTTGGCGAGCTCGAGACAGATCAAGGTATCGACTTACTTCCGATAAAAATATTTGTTGCTTTCCACGATAATGGACGCGATACAAGATGCCCGACTTGATTGGATTTTTCAGATACCGAGCACGATAGAGGATGCCTCGGCCTTCATCCAAGTCAAGAGAGTCCTTCAGAAATTAGGCTACGCCGAGAACGCGCCCGATCCCGTTTAGGAATGCTGCGGCAGCCAGCTGCGACCTGAAGCTCCACCTTGTTAATACTTTTTTACCAACTTTTTTTACGAATAAACTTTCTGAAAACTATCAATTTTCACTTAATATTCGTTTAACGCTTGTTGCATCTACAGACGAACGTTAAATAAATTTATACACGATTGTTTTTTATATACGTTTTGCCAGGTAACAGATACGAAGCAAAATAAAAGTTATGAAATGAAAATCGATCGGGCAGTTGATTAAACCAAAAAATAAATTAAACGTCGATGTAGAGGTAATGCGAGCGGAAAATGAGGGGCTAGCCGATAACGTAATATTCGTCCTCTATAAATGGCTCATATATATGTAATAAAGTTAGCCAGGATTATTTGCGGCTAGATGTAAGAGAAATTTGGACTAGGTGTGCCACGCGAGGATAGGGCAGAAATGTGCCATCAATGGCATCAAACACTATGTGTACATCTCACACGAGCTACGGGATGTGTACTCGATCTCTCGCGTACGTCATTTGGCGCGGCGCGTGGGGAATTACATCACACGCGCGCGCACATACACACACACACACACGCACACAGTTCATTGGTTGAATTTACTTAGTAGTGTGTGTATGCAGAGAAGCAGAAGCTCGCGCGTCGATGCTGCGCGAATACGTGCTCAGCTTAGCTGATACGCATCGCGGGCATCCCTTATATAAATTCAGCGCCAAAGGAAAGAAGAGAGCGAGAAGATGCGAGTGTACATTTACTGCTGCGTTAACTCGCAAAAGGAAATAAAAAGTAGATCGCGAGCGTGCCGATCGTCTGACGCAGCAATAACGCCCGTGAGCTCGAGAAATCAAACGTTTAGAGATATCGTTCAGCTGCATAGCTCGGCCACGTCACGCCGCGTTACGAGACGGGGCAAATTGAAAATTCTTCCGAGCATTTTTGACGCGAGCGTAATTCGGGACCTCGTTGCAAGTATATTTCGCTCTAGACGACGATTTATATATGGGCTATATCGCGTCAACTGTCCCCCCNTGTCCCATCCTTGGATCAGAGTTGTAATTTGATTTTTCATATTTAACTCTGCTTTCCAAGAGTGAATATGAAAAAATGATTAGAACACGATTTTTTTATGTAAAATTTGATGAGGAATTCAAATTTGATGTCAAAAATCATAATTCAATCATTTTTTCATATTCACCTTTGGGATCGCTTACGCGATATAGCCCATAATATTTGTATACTTGTACACTCTAGTTCGATAATCGATATATGATCTCACATCGAGTCCGACAAATCCATCGTCGAGCGAAAACAAATCTGTGGTGGAAAGGCAAAACGACTTAAGTCCATATTTTTTGCTCCCTATCATCGCTATGATGCGTCTTTCAATTTCATAAGTACATGGTTCAAAAGCTACCTCATAGTAGCTTAAAACATCATAGGTTCAGACCTCAACTCGTCCGCGTCTAGTTAGGCTGGCACAATCAACTTAAAACGCGTTTTTCTCGAAATTGCGAAAAATGGACTTAAGTCGTTATGCCTTTCCACCACAGAAATGATCTCGAATCGGAGCATTTATTTACGCGAACTCCATCGCTCGCTTCATCGAATACGAGTATTAAAATGAAATCAAAATAAAAAGAGGGAAAAAATGACGTGATAATCGCGGCAGAAAGTAGTGATGAATCGAGATTTAAATTCAAACGCGCGCGTATAAATATAACTGCATGATTGCCAAGTAAACAAGTTGTACTGTATAGGGAAAGGATCGATGCTAGCTGACACGCTCGCTTTATGCAACGGCGCAAATCCGAGCGATGCACCAATTTTACAATGGTTTAGAAAATAATGTACTCTACCTCCTATCGGTACGTGTATACGTGTAGGCGCCTCGTGCGCGACGATCGTGTGTGTGTGTGTGTGTGTGTGTGTGTGTGTTTAGCGCAATTTATTCGTCGCTGCAGACGCCTGCGTACATGCGTATACAGCCTTGTACATTATACGCGTCGATGTGCTATATAGATGTGCCTTACAGCATTATTCGTCGCGATCGCTCTCGATTTGGCTTCGACGCACGAGACAGAGATGCCGCGCTAGGATCTCCTATGTAGGACATCGACGGAGGGGAAAAAAATTCAAAATCGACGCATCTCTATTGCAAATAAAACGTTGTCAGCTGCGAATTCGCGAGAGCTCTTTATCGAGAGACAAGGCCACTCGCGGAACGGCTAAACTCTACGGGATACACGCGACCAAAGCTGCGAACCGTTGGGGACACGATGAGTTTCTGCCAGGCGGAAAACAATCGACGCGATCGCGAGGCCAACGAGATGCGGAAGACGTTGGAAATTCAATACAGACGTATATTTTTTCGCGCGACATCCGACGTGGCGCGAGCCCGGCCTCATCGTATCAGATCGTTATTACATCCTCGGCTAATTAACTATTCCAATGAAAAAAGATGCGAAACGGCCGGCGACTTCTTGCGCGCTGTATAAGAGCGGCAATGTCAGGGGTCGACGAGTTCATGACTGTATCGGTGTGTCCGCGTCGAGCACACGTCACGACGTTTTCGCGTATATCTGTGTGCGCGCGTATGCCTGTGCAGGTAGGTTTTAGGAAGTTTCGATAGTAGTAGTCGAGCGACGAATTGAATTGTCACTACTTTTGCTGCACATCGCACGCGGGCTTCTGTCAGTTTGATTTGAGACACCGACGAGACTGACTCGGCCGATTTGTTTATTATTATTATTTTTTTTTTACTTCTTTTTCTTCTTTTTTTCTTCTTCTCTTTTTCGCTTCCTTTGTTCTTCGCCCAGTGGTGGCGGATAATTTGTACCTTGGTAATTATTTAGTTTGTTTTTTTTTGTATACATACCCCCCTTTTTAGCCAAACTTTTGCATCAAGTGCTCGATAAAAATTGTGTGCGATCGTTGTTAAATTTTGTGAATCGATCTTTCTTGTGTGCTCTGTGACTGTGTGCTCGCCGATTGCATTGGTTCTTATTTAAGAATTTTTTTTCTCTTTTCATTTTTATAGGCAATTTAAAGAAGAAAACAAGAAAAATGAAAAAAATGTACGATCAAGTTCAGTCTGACTTTGCCGAAGTCAAAAATAACAACAGCAACAACAGTTCGGCGAGATCGAGAGGAAGAACCGACGGATCAGGTAACGTTGAAACTTTTCTTTCGGCGCTAATAAAATTCTTTGAAATGCCTCGTCAAGGGCTAAGCCCGTCTTATTTTTCGCGCTGTCTCGGCAATCGGAAAATGACGAAAAGAGTCGCAAAATGAGCTGCCAATAACTCGCGCCTATTGCATAATGAATCAAAATCGATAAAAAGACGTCATTCGCATAATATGCGCTTCGATATTACAATGTGATGGCTGTTGTGTTGGCCTGCAAGACGGTCGTCGTTATTTAACGTATCGCGCGCACACGGGAAATTCATCGGGTCTTGAAACAAAAGAGATAATTTACATACGCGCATGTATATTGTCAGAGAACCCGAGTATACTTTGCGAACATACGAAAAAGATGGAGATAACACGTACACACATACACAAAAGCTCACAAATCGATGCCATAATAGTACGCGTCGGATATTTAATTAAATGAATGCGAGAGGAAAAAAAATAATACTAAAGAGAGAGATAGAGAGAAATTGTGTGGCTGTACTGATTGGATATTGCTCGAGGAAATTACTCTGATTCTAGAGAAATACGTATCGGATGCTTGCGCGAGATAATGCGTGGGAGTAGCACTTTTTCTGCCGTTTATTCCGAGAAAAAGGATTTTGCCGACTCGTAAAAAAAAGGTGAAATTTCTAGTAAAAAAGGCGCTTGAAAAAGGGTTAATTTTTTCTCTTTGTTTTTCATGGTAAATAAGCTCGTGTGACGATCGAACGGAGAAACGTCCGAGACGTTGCGCTCGTAATAATTCGATTCGTTGGCATTGTCGACTGCTTACCAATGTGGGTATAAATTAAAGCGAGGCCTCGTCGATTTAAAACTTCCGTCGCTCGGCTTTTTTTCGTACTTTTTCTCTCTCTCTCTCTCTCTCAGCTACCGCTTCTTTTCTTTTATTTCCAAGACTTTTCGATGTCTAGACCAATGTAATTGACGAAAAAAAAAACCCGTTACTTTGTTGCGCTCGCACGAACAGATTACATATTCGGTCAGAATCGCTACAGAAGCGCTCAATACGAGGAGGCGTTTCGTCGATCCATCGAGAAGCCCGAGGAGTTCTGGGCCGAGGTGGCGCAGTGCGTCGACTGGACCAAGCCCTGGGATCGCGTCTTGGACAATTCCGATCCGCCCTTCACAAAATGGTAAGCGCAGTATCGATCAAATAAGTCGCCTTTATGAGATAAGTTCGCATCTGCGGAGCGTTAATGGTCAACACGATCGAGACTCCGAGGGAGAAAATTACTTTTTTCTCGAAGCGGATTAAGAGATGCGCTATTATAACGCGAGGTATACATAGGATGGTTAGAGCGCGGCCTCGTTGCAGGTTCGTGGGCGGCGAGACGAACGCCTGCTACAACGCCGTGGACCGTCACGTGGCGGCGGGCCTCGGCTCGAAGGTCGCCCTCGTCCACGACTCGCCGATGACTCAGACGATCCGCAAAGTCACCTACGCCGAGCTGCTGGACCAGACCTCGAGACTGGCCGGGGTGCTGCACGATCTGGGGGTGAGGAGGGGCGACCGAGTCCTCATCTACATGCCGCTGATGCCCGAGACGATCATCGCCATACTGGCCACGGCTAGGCTGGGCGCCATGCACTCGACCGTCTTCGGAGGTATTCCACTACGTTTTTTTTTTTGTTCTTCTCTATACTCGAACGAATCGACTAATTCATGTATGACGCGTCAGGCTTCGCGGCCAAGGAATTGGCGACGAGAATCAATCACGCCGAGCCAAAGGTCATCATAGCTGCTAGCTGCGGCCTCGAGCCCCACAAAGTCGTCAGGTACTCGAAAATATTCTTGCCTCCCTCTCTATCTGGAAAATAACAAAAGTGACACGTTGACGCAAAAATTGCGCGCGCACAGATACACGGACATGCTGAACGACGCCCTGACGCAGATATCGGTGGCCAGGCCCCACTGCGTCGTTCATCAGCGGCGCAACGTGTGGGTGGCGCCGCTCCAGCCGGACCAGTACGACTGGGACGAGCTGATGGACTTGGCCGAGCCGCGTCCCTGTGTGCCCGTCGAGGCCAACGAGCCCCTCTACATACTCTACACGTCCGGCACCACGGGTAGCTATATCCTGCTTGCAACGATACATTTTAATATTAATTTTATAAATAAGCAAAAAAAAAAGAAAAAAAAAGAAAAGTCGAATTGACGATGATGTGTCTTTTTCGTCGACGCTCAGACAGTCCGAAGGGTGTGCAGAGGCCACTGGGCGGCCACATCGCCACTCTGTGCTGGACCATGAAGGCGATCTACGGCATGGACAAGAACTCGGTCTGGTGGGTCGCGTCGGATCTCGGCTGGGTCGTCGGTCTGTCCTACATCTGCTACGGGCCGCTGCTCTACGGCTGCACCAGCGTCATGTACGAGGGCAAACCCGATAGGACACCCGACGCCGGCCAATATTTCAGGTAAATGTCTACGAGAGATCGGCTTACTAATTGATCGTCCGATCCCGCGCGCCAAATTCTCGTATATAATTATATCAGCCGTATCGCGTGCGCTGAAATAATTGCGCTTTCTTCGGCGTACGCGTGAACGCTTCGACTATCGAGGACGCGACGAGGCAACAACAATTGCCTCGTGCGTTTCTCTCGAGAGATCACGAATCGAGTCATTTTTTTTTCGACGCACATTTTCCCAGCTGTATAGTATTCGATTACAGCCAGAAAAGTAAATGTCCAAGTTATGACTGATTATTGCGCGTTGCAGAATAATCGAGCAGCACAAAGTGAACGCGCTGTTCACCGTGCCGACCGCCTTCCGAGTCCTGAGGCGAGCCGATCCAGAAACACTACTGGGCAGGAAATACTCCACCAAGTCGTAAGTTTGCTTTCGCATCTTCGTTCTCTTCTTTGCTTCTTTCTCTTATTTTTTCTACGTGGCTCAGCTTGAGGACGATCTTCGTGGCCGGCGAGCACTGCGACTACGAGGCCAAGGCCTGGGCCGAGAAGACCTTCAAGGTGCCGATTCTGAATCACTGGTGGCAGACCGAGACCGGCCACGCCATCACCGCCACCTGCCTCGGCTTGGCCCACAGTACCAATCCGCCCAAGTACAGCACCGGCATGCCCTTCCCCGGCTACGATGGTTAGAAACGACCTATAACGACATTTTCTTCGAACCGAACTTTTTTCATTTCCCTTTCGTTTCCTTTTTTTGTTGTATCTATAGTTCAAGTTTTGCGAGAGGACGGCAGCAAGGCGTCGGCCCACGAGTTGGGCCGGATCGTGGTTAAACTGCCGCTACCACCTGGCACCATGTCGACCCTTTATTTGGCGCCGGAAAGATTCAAAGAGAATTACTTCTCCAAGTACCCGGTAAGTTAGATCGATCCGATTCAATTTTGCCATTTTACTCAGAGATCGGCCGTCAGAGAGAGAAATTAGAGCTTCCGGGCTCCTCGTGAACGTGCGCGTGGAATTTCCAAATGTAATATTAAGCTCTATCGTATTAAAATCTGATGGAGGAAAATAACGAGTCAACTGGTCGTTTTCAACAGATTATTATAGATGGATTCGTTGACATTCAATGCTGGTAAACAACAAATACACATCTTCCAAATAAAACTTTTACTCAATGAAAGTTTGTCTTAACAAAGTGCGTCAAAAGAAGAGCTCCAAAATTCGGGGATTACATTCATTTCTTTTTAATTTTGTCCGCGGAAAGTATTGTGCCAAGTACCAAAATCGACTCTTTGTTGGGACTTTAGTTTTATTATTTTAATTTTTATACGCGTCTATAGACGCTCAATTATCAAACTACTAATGTACTATCAAAATACCGTGCATCAAACAACTCAACTACACTTTCAGCAGTGATCATTTGCATGAAATTTTTTTTTTTTTTTTAATTAATTGGACAATTTCGGGGACATATTTGGAATCTTCATTGAATTTTTTCTTGTCACCGGCTCAAATAAATAACTTCTGGTTTCTAATTTCCATTCATTATGAATTACTTTTCGGCTATGCGATATGATTTGCCGATGTCAAATACGATCAAGAGAAGACCATTTCCATTGTAACCATAAAAAAAAACGAAATTTCAGGGCTTCTACGACACGATGGACGCTGGCTACATCGACGAGTTCGGTTACGTTTACGTGACTGCGCGCGACGACGACGTGATCAACGTGGCTGGACATCGGCTGTCCACCTCGGCCCTCGAAGACGTGGTTCTAAGTCATCCAGACGTGGTCGACGCCACCGTCGTCGGCGTGCCCGAGCCCACCAAAGGCGAGATTCCGCTGTGCCTCTATGTGACGCGCGATGGTAAGACGAAATTTCGCCCAGTGCCATGTACCATGATATTACGAAGGAAAACAGAAAGAATTATTCGGTGACTCGGATCGGTCGTTCTTTTCTTACAGACAGAAATACGAACGAGGAGTTGATCAACGGCGAGCTGGTCGCCAGAGTTCGCGAGCTGATCGGCCCGATCGCGGCTTTCAAACTGGCTGCCGAAGTCAAGGGGCTGCCTCGCACGCGCTCCGGCAAGACCTGTCGGAAATCCATTTCCGATCTCGCTCGCTCGAAACAGATCAAGGTTCGCAAAAATTCTTTTCTCCGTACTCCATTGCTTCGTTTGAAATGCAACCATTTTCATTTTTCCCCTTTTGTTGTGTTTTGCCTTCGTTTTTTCAGATACCGAGCACGATCGAGGACTCGACGGTTTATCGCGACATCATGCAAGTGCTGAGAAAGCTAGGCTATGCCAAAACGGCCCCCGAGCCGATATAGGAGACGATGTGACTATTCAAAAGACACTCGTCGCTCGTTTCTGTGTATAGTTTTTAAATATTAATTTCTAATTTTATGAACACATGTATGTTTTATTACCGATGGTTTTACACGCTATTATTCATAATTACTATCGCACACGCGAAAATGGAACTTTTCATTTAACGCAATAACGTGACAAAAACAATTATGTTAATAATAATAATAATAATGATAATAATAATAATGATTAATCATAAGAGAAAGCACGTATGAATTTTGTTGCTAAACTATTTTTATTTTGGTCTTTTGTAGAAAAAATACGTAATTACATGCGTTTTACGCAAGCTATTGTCCTAACGATTTGCTTTTTTCTAAAAAAAAAAAAAAATAATTCGACGGTTAGATAGAACCGTACAGTCTCTATATACAACTTTACACGATCTCGATCATGGAAATTATTTAATTTTTGCGCTTTTTGCGACGGTTACGAGACGTCTTATTTTTCACTTGCTCCGCTTCTGGCGTAGATTTTTGTGCTTCTTCAAAGCTGTCAGATTTTCGCTTCGCCGCAGCAACAGGCTTGTCTGTAATCATTGGTTCTTCAAGTGTCACGGACTCCAATTTAATCTCTTCCGTTACATCTTCTACATTACTTTCATTCGGCGTCGCTGAACAGGCTGGTACACTAAAGCCAGGAATCTACAACAACAAAAAGGCGGAAAAAATTTATAATTTATAGATAATACATAGATTTTATAAAAATATGTAGAATGTTAAAAGTCAGTTTCTGTCACATTAAATGTATCTTTTAAAATGAAATGAGACTCCGGTGCTGCTTTTAATTTACAAATCATTATCATAATTACCTCTGGCTTGACGAGCTTGAACACGAGCTTCTCGTGCTGCACGTTTGTGCGATCGAGACTCAACTGAACTGTAACCTGATCGAACGAGCGGAACGTAACATCGTTCCATCTTTGAGTGTGCTCTTCTGCATCGTATATAAATGTGACGGCGGATTTTTCATCCTTCCTGCTGAGATATAACGTACCCTCGAGACCGAATTTCGGTATGAGGATCTGAAGCGCGTTTTTGCGCACAAACAGGATATATCCTTCCTCGTCTTGAACCTTGTTTCTGAAGAAGAGCTGAAAAGGCGAGCGTCGAGCATGAATTAGAATTCGTTCGCTGCGAAAGAGATTAAAGTATTTATGACGTTTTATACTTACATGTGTGTTTAGCGCAACCGAGGCTCGGCCAGCATATTGCGCCATTCTGTTGCGGTAATTGAGGTTGTGACAAAGAGCGTGGCTCCTCTTCTTGTCCAAAAGATCCGAGAAAGTGGCATCGGCTCCCACGCAAACCGCCAACAGTCTATGAACTATAACGTCCGCGTATCTGAGGAAAGAAAAATAAAAGAGCTTGCGTAAAAGATCGGTACGAGCAAGTTGACCGGAGTCGATCGTCGACGAGAAAAGTACCTTCTGATGGGCGAGGTGAAGTGAGTGTAAATTGGACAAGCCAAGCCGTAATGGTAAAACTCGGCCTCCTGCACCATGCCGCTGGTAAAGTAGACAGCCTGCATCATGCACCTGGTGGCGAGAATTTTCAGCATCGTGTTGAAGTACGGATTGTCGTCCTTGACGGCGGCCTCGAGCGACTTGGCCAGGGCCTTGCCGTTGCTCGTGTCGATCTCGAAGCCCTGATGCCTGCCGGCCTTGATGAGCGGATCGAAATTGACCTGGGGCGGCTCCGGATGGCGTCGCAGCATCGCGCACTCGGGGAACTCCTCGACTATCCTCTTGGCCACGGATATGTTGGCCAGCAACATGAACTCCTCGACCATGGAATTGGTGTCGCGCATCTGCTTGGCCTGCACGTCGATGGGGTCGTGGGTCTCGGAGTCGACCTGGAAGCGGATCTCCGGCGAGGCGAGCACGAGCGCGCCGTTCGCGAGACGCTTCTTCTTGAGCTTCTTGGCGAGGTCGTTGAGGCCGCGCAACGACTTGGCCAGCGAGTCGTTCTGGGTCTTGTCGTCGATGCGCAGCTGGGCCTCCTCGTAAGTCATGGCGGCGCGCGACCTTATGATGGACTTGCAGTAGTCCGTGCTGACGATGTTGGCCTCGCGATCGATCTCCCAGATGCAGGAGAAGGCGAAGCGCTCCTCGCCGCCTCGCAGCGAGCACAAGTTCGAGCTGAGTAATTCTAAACGAAGGCGATGACGTTTTAAACGCTATTACATTTAATAAAGAAGAACGAAAGAAAAGAGATGAAAAAGAAAAAAGGGAGAGTACTAACCAGGCACCATGTCGATTCTCTTGTCGACGAGGTAGACGGTCGTGGCTCTGAGCGAGGCCTCCTTGTCCAGGGCAGTTCCCGGCCTAATGAAGTGCGAGACGTCGGCGATGTGCACGCCCACCTCGAGATTGCCATTGTCGAGGTCGCGGCAGTGGAGGGCGTCGTCGATGTCGGTACAGCCGGGCGGGTCGACCGAGCAAACGTCGATGTGACGCAGATCGCGCCGTTGCGCTACATCCTGTATAACACATGCAAATTATATACGTGCGTGACATTTATTTCGTTGAAAGCTTCAGGCCGTTGTTGTTGCGCGCCTTTTATGTACACACACAAGCTTAAAACTTTTGGTCGTAACATGGCATAAAATTTTTATTTTTTATTGCTCTTTCCCCTCCACACGAACACGCACACACGCACGCATAGGCGCGATTTCCATCGTGTAATGAATGATAAAATTATGAGTTGTTTACGAGTACAATTATTAAATTGAAAAATCAGAAAAATTTTAACGAGTTATGTCCGAGGACGCAAGTCTTGCGGATAAAATTAAAAGGTTATTTTTTGGAATGAAGACCGAAGAAACGGTGACGACGACGACGACGACGTTGGCACAACCAAAAAACAGCATGACGATAATCGAGAGCGCCAAAGAGTCGGACGAGGCTCGGCAGGAGGACGCGAAATATGATAATAACGTCGCGCCCCAAATCGATAATGCTCCCGTCGATTCGAGCGTCAGTTTCAAAGTGTTCAGCAAAGAGATGGAAAAGTTTCTCAATTATACCAAGGAGCACGAAAAATTACTGCGCTACTACGTGCACCAGCGTCCGCAGTGAGTTTTGCTTCCTCGTGAAACTGTTGCTTCGATCGGCCAAACTTATTTCGCTTCTTTCTCAGCCTCACGGATAAACAATTAAATTGCGACATAGACGAGCTGCAAAGTTTGATGGCGGAGATAAAGAATTCATTGATGACCGTTAAGCAGCTCAAGGCTCAGCAGAAATTAATAAGAAAGGACATAGCGTCCGTCAAAAAAAGCGTGAAAAAAGTTAAAGATAATGGTACGCGTGATATATATATAACTCTCGGCCATAACTCGCTTATCGAAATAAATCTCGTTGCAAAAAAAAAATATGTACAAATGAATAAACCGATAACAACAGAGATTCACGAGCTGGAGACGATCGTTTCGGGCTACGACAAGGACATGTTCGGTCGATGGCTGAAAAGCAAGTGGAAACCCGACGAGCTCGAGGGTTTGATGTTCGACGCGCAGGAGAAAAAGCTCGCGCTCGACAGCCTCGAGAAGCTGATCAATCTGCAGCTGAGCAAGAACGAGGACAACACCTCCGACGACTGGGAGTCCGTGGCCGACTTGGCGGAGGCGTCCGACGACAGAGCGCCAACGACGGCCACGGGCCCGGCTCCAGCTGGCCCGACTCTGATCATCAAGATCGAGCCGAAAACCGTCGCTCGGTCACAGGCGGCAACGCGACCATCGACCCACAATCGAATAAGCACGAGATTCGCTTGGGAGCAGCGCAGATTCAGGTAACGAACTTGACTCGCTATAACCGAGAGACAAGGACATGATTTTCATTTCGTCCGATGCTCGTTAGAGGCGAGAGGAGAGGCCACTATTCGTCGGCGCTCGTAAAATCCATCACCGAGACACAAGAGTCCGAGCCAGCTGCCTCGACGTCGACCAATCAGTTGGCTCCGCCAGTTGCCGAGTCGGGCAACGCTTGCCTGATAAACGTGAGTAACGAAGACGACGACGACTCTTCGGCTACGAATCACGATTCCCGAGTCGACACGGCGACCAGTGACGCCGGATTGAACCAAGAAATCTTTCATCTGCTTGGTTGACGAGGCTACGTTTAAACAAACAAAAAAAAGCAAGGATAACTTACCAGATCGGTTATGACCCATGGCAATTTGGGCAGGAAACTGAGAACTTCGTCCGAGAATCTGCTGTGGGGAATATCGTGCTCGATCAGCAGCACCTCGTTCTCCGTGTCCTTGTCGCCGATTTTGCCCAGAGCTCGGACAAAGTGACCGAGCGGGTAGCGCGAGTTGCGCGGCCAAGAGTCGATAGCGACGATGATGCGCTGATGGCACAGCGTCTCGGCTTGTCGCGTCTCGATGCGTACCTTCGGGATTTTGCGCTCGGCCGGCACGAACAGGTGTCGTGTGTTCTAAAACAAAATTATCCGAAATAAAGTAGTTGATTCGAAAAGCGTTTGTCGAGATAGAGCCTCATTGCTTACGTCTTTGAGTGGATTTTTTTGAATTATACCGCAGTACTGTCTCCACTTTCGACGGATTATACCGACGATTCGGCCGGTCGGTTGCTTTTCAGCTTCCGGTACAGTTATCTTCTCAAGAACTGCGTCTTCGTCAAGAGTGTCGCCAGGATCTTCCTCGGTTTCATCCAATAGAACAAGATCACTGGGAGCAGACCATTGATCCTCGGGTAACAATTCAATAGCCACTGTATCACCATCTATTGCTCTGTTTAAAGCCTCACGACCTTGTATCAAAATCTAAGACAAGTTCATTTAAACGATAAGATTAATAAACATTTTGATTACCTAACATTCAAATTAAAATAGATACTTACAAATTTGTCCAAGGACTCACAATTCACTGTACCTTCCAAGAAATTTTCTCTGGAAGCAATGAACGAGCCCTGAAGTAATTTGCCACTTTTAATACCATCATGAATTTGTCCTGGTGACAGGTGACAAGGAAAAAGAGGTGGTCGATTGTCACCATCCAGAGCATACTCTATCTTGGCCAATTTATCAATTAAAAAGCCAGCATTTTCCAATGAATCGACATAATCTTTCACTGAATTTCAATATTATCGTTATAGTATTATCAGATACAATGATTAATACAAATTAAATAAAATACTCACTTGAATAAACTGGTATGCCTTCGTCCTTAGCTTTTTGTTTATTGCCCACGTCATCCGTCAATAATACAGTTTTAATATTTATATCTTGACTTTTAAAGTGTCTATTGTACCACTGAGCGACAGCTCTTATAGCCTTATCATTTCTGTCATTGACAGTTTCTCCTGGTACACGAGTAACATATGTATCTCTGATGGATATAAAACAATTATATTAAAATATGATTAAATACTATTAACTTTTAATAATTTTTTGGTTAATTTACTTGTGATGTTCATTCATGAAATAGTAAAATTTTCTGCTTGGGTCACCAATTAGTTCTTCTAGTTTCTTGTACACGTTAGAACTCCTGTGTTTAACTTCATTCAACACAATCTGAGATATAATTACATTGCAAAATATGTTTTCCTCCAATACATGAATCTAAAATACATGTTAATAAATGAATAAAAAAACTTGTAAACAAATATTTATAAAGTATGGTAATTAATAAGTTATTATTCATACCTGATTCAAAATAATATTTGTGTCAAGGACCAAGTAGTATGGGCCCTTAAACAACTTACTCTTTGATCCTGGATTTTCATCATCTAATAATATAGTTTTTGGATTGCGTCCACACTTGTTACAAGCTTCTGAACCACACCAAATGTCATCTCTCAAGTAATGTTCTCGTACCACCTTTGCACAAAATGAATAATGAATCAACACTACCACTCAAGATCATGCAAATTTCAAACACATAGATTAGAAATTTAATTAAACAAACCTTGAAAATTCCATTCCTTGTTTTTCTATAAAACGAGGTTACCAAAGGTGCCGACATGGTTAAAATTTTTTCACTGTTGTATTACGATGGACCTCACTTGCACAGATGAGACTCACGTAAGCATATATGATGCTCAAACACCGAAACACGTGGGAGTAACAGTAAGTCAAGATATCAAGAAATCAAGATTGAACAAGCCGGCGGGTTATAGTTCGGTCACGGAGTAAGGAGGGCGCCACAAACTTGGGATCGTAGACGCAGCAGAAGTCGATACATCAGTTTTTTCTTTTAAATAAAATAATATGATAATAAAAATAATAATAATTATATAAAATAACTCTGGATGATTTAAACTGCTTCCAGCCATAAATAAACTTGATTGTTCACTCAGGGTATATTAAAATATATATTGAGAAAAGTTTCGATTTGAATATTAACGCAGCTGGCGCCATTGCATTAAAATAACCGGCCATGTGCGTTGAGTACGGCGCTTGCCGCTTACTCACAGTAGTGTCTTCTGCAGACTGCACGTGCTGATGATACTTGAAGTTTATTTTCATAGATATACTAACATTCGTTCATAACACTTGTTTAGCTGACAGTTTAGTATTGCAATCATGGATGCCTACGAAATATCTAAAAAATTGGAATTTGGGGTGCGTTACGATTTGAAAAGTTTTCACGAAGATGCGGTATTATTTGGGGTAAGTAAAATCTAATTATTTGTCACTTAACTGACATTATTTTACAACCTTAAACGTATAACGTTGATTGAGTAAAAAAGTGAAATTCCGACCATGTGCTTAAATTTTGATATTGTTTATGACAGTTGCTCAGAAAACCAACCTCTACGGAGGCAAAAATAAAAACCGAAAATGAACAAAAGGTTGACGAATCAGTAGAAATTAAAACAGAGCCTGATTCAGAACCTGAATCAGAATCAGAAGTTATTGAAGATGATAGTCAAAAAAAATCACTAAAAAGAAAATGCTCTGAAATTGAAGATGCGAGTGAAGCAAATGAGAGCGAATTTACCATTTTGGATGGTATTAAGGCTGGTGCGGATGGAAAAATACTAAAAGAAAAAAAGAAAAAAAAACTGATGACAGAAGAATTAAAATTAAAATTGGAACAAGAACAAATCAACCACTTTAGAAATATTCATCACATATCGGTAACAGGTGCAAAAGTTCCTGTACCTATAAAATCCTTTGATGAATTACGCAACGATTACAATATTGGAGATGATATTATTGCCAACATGAAAAAATGTGGTTACGAAGAACCAACAGCTATTCAAATGCAAGCTTTACCTGTTATGTTACAAGTAAGAAAATACTTCTTTTCCTTAATCATATACCTACTGGTATTGTAATTCACATAACATTGTTATTCATTTACAGAATAGAAGAATATTGGCCTGTGCTCCAACTGGTTCAGGAAAAACTGCTTCCTTCCTCATTCCAATAATACATCATCTGAAAGGACCAAAAAGTAAAGGTTTTCGAGCCATTATTATTAGCCCTACAAGAGAGTTGGCAAAGCAAACTTATAGAGAGTGTATTCGATTGAGCGAGGGTCGTGATTTTCGAATACACATTATAAGTAAAGTCAATCAAGCAGCTGAAAAATATGGGGCAAAAAGCTCTCAAAAATTTGGTAATTATTAATGCCTTTTAAAATTACTTTTTTGTTCATAGCATGATTTCATTAAAATCATTTTTTAGATATTTTAATTACTACTCCCAAAAGGCTTGTTTATCTCTTATCTCAAGAACCACCTGCAATCGCTCTCAATAAGTAAGTTACATGTTATTTTCATAATTTATCACATTATTATTAGATTTACCCAGTATAACTTTTAAATATTTTCTAGTGCTGAATGGCTTGTGGTTGACGAGGCAGATAAATTATTTGAAGAGGGAAAGAGAGGTTTTAAAGAACAACTTGACATAATATCTAAGGCATGCACAAATCCAGACTTACGTCAAGGAATGTTTAGTGCTACCAATACTCCAGCGGTAACAAAGTGGTGTAGACATAATTTTAAGGGTTTAGTCACAGTAACAATTGGATCAAGGTATATATTCTTTTTACACTTTACCAGTTTTGAATCTATTAAAACGTTTTTAATCCATTTGTTTTAAAGAAACTCAGCAGCTGATACAGTTGATCAGAAGCTCCTATTTGTAGGTAATGAACAAGGAAAATTAATAGCATTTAGAGATCTTGTGAAAGAGGTAAAAGTCTTGTATATTTTATTTGCCAATTTTAATATCATGATCCAACTAACCAAATAAATTTTATAGGGCTTAACACCTCCAGTGCTGGTATTTGTTCAAAGTAAAGAGCGAGCTCAAAAATTATTCACAGAACTTATCTACGATGGGCTGAATGTGGATCTCATTCATTCCGACAGAACTCAAACACAAAGAGATAATGTTGTTCAATGTTTCCGTGAAGGAAAAATATGGGTTCTTATTTGCACAGAACTTATGGGCCGTGGTATTGATTTCAAAGGTGTCAAGCTTGTAATAAATTATGATTTTCCACCTTCAGCTATTTCATATATTCACAGAATTGGTAAGCGTTATTATAAGTTCTAGAAAGAAAATAAAAAATTTTAATTTATATTTATAATTAACATCTATAACAAAATAAAACTTAATTTTTAAGGTCGTACTGGTAGAGCAGGAGAAAAAGGAAAAGCCATTACTTACTTTACTACACAAGACACTGAAAATTTAAGAAGGTACGCAAGTTTTAACACAATTGTTTTACACAATATATACAGTAATTATTTTTAAAAATTCGTTATTAAACACTAAGTTAATTACGAAGGTATAAAAAGTATACAATCCAAATGGTTTATTCTACTTTCAAAACCGTCTAACATTTAATTGATGCATCAACTCTTATTCATATTGAAAATTAAGAATTTTGAACAATAGAAAAGTTGTAATTTGACTTGAAAAGAAAATCTTTGCACCACTAAAATAATATTTTTCCATTATAGCATTGCAGCTGTTATGCGTAATTCAGGTTGTGAAATTCCTGAATATATGCTTGCTCTCAAAAAGAAAAGCAAGAGGAAATTCAAGCAGACAAACGAAGATAATAATAATGATAAAAAAAATGATAAGAGAAGTGAAAAGAAAAATGAAAAGAAAATTGTTAAGAAAAAAGTAAAAAAAATGTAAATAAAAGCTGTTGAATAATTATCTAAGTTATTAATAATGTAATCGCTTGTATGATTTATTTCAAGTTTTACTTTCTTCCACAACTACAATTCATCATTAAATTTTTAACATGAAGTGTCGGTGTATCAATTTTGTTTTTCAAATTGAGTTTTATAATCGTATCAAGTTGTATTGCGTCAAGCTACTGAGCCATCATTGCTAGTTTGATCAGAACATAATTGTGATAAAGAATCTGCTCTGCAGTGATATTCTATTGAATGTTATGAATTCAATTTTCTCATAGAATAAGCTTCTTTATGTTCATTAAATAAGCGTTCCTAAATTTGAATAGAATTCTGAGTCTGTAAAATGAACACTTGTAAACATTTTGTAAAAAGAAAGTTTATGAGTATATAATGATATTGATCATTCAAATTTGGTATGAAGCTTAAGTATTCACAAAATTTCATCAAATTATATAATTATGAACTAGAGACAGTTTGACTGTCAACCAACAGAAAAATTATCACAATTCATTTTTTCATACCACTGATTTTATTATTATTTTGTTTATACTGACAAAAAAATATATGTACTTTTCGGTATCATTTTTTACAACTGCCCTGTCCTGCCAAATGGAAATTGAAACTTGTTTTTTTCGGCTGATTCAACCCCAGATAACCAAGCCAACAGCTTCTCTAAATAAAAGTCTTGTAATGTAATAAGGTTGAGGGCTAATGTCAATATCGGAAATGGCACTATCGGTTGACATAGTAAGAAAACTATTTCCTTTTTTTCTTTTTTGTTTAGCCAAAACCACGGACAAAAGAGAAAAATTCAAACATGAGCGCAATTCAATTTCAAACAAATAATCGATTCTCAGTGAAGTCCAATGGACATAAATCTCACGTACTTACCGTTTTCGGATGCATTTGTGCCGCGAGAACTTGCGATAATGTATCATTATTCATTCAAATGATGTGTTTAAAAAGGAATTGATCGTGACGGTCGGTAAGCCAGGTTTCATGCGAGTAGTGTGTCGCGTGCGGTAGCTGCTGTCATCTACAACACCCATCTCTATGTGTGATGTTGTATAATTATGGGCATGCTACAGTATTATAATACACGCGAGAATGGGAGAAATTTTCTTTTGAAAAAAGAAAAAACGATTGCTGCTGCATTTTAACGAAATGTTGACAAAAATAATTATATATCCTTTGCGCGCTGATATCTATTTTGAAATAAAAGCTTTGGTGTGGATCATTTTATGATTCTTCAATTAACAGCAAGTTACTTAATAAAAGTTATAACATATAAACGGAATGTAAAGAAAATTATATTCTACGCAAAATCCGCGTTCGAGTCTCGTATAAAGCCAGCGAAATTTAACGCCTCATTAACGATATATAAACTTCTGTCTCGACGCGCGCACAAACAAACAAATAGTTTAACCGACTTTATACTTTGTCGTTGAACTAATACATACGCGCATGAATAAGTATACGAGCCTTGATATAATGGGTATAAGACGCTAAAATAGCGTGACACGCCGTATCCTAGTGGTTAACCATTTTCCCCAAGAATATAATACATATTATATATCCGTGTGCATTCATTGAGAGTTGTAACTTCTCACGAAAGGATTTGAAACTTGTATCCTCTTGCATTGTTGATGATAACTATTTTCAACGATATATACGTGCTGTATTCGAAGCTACGAAAGAGAGAGACGCGAGGGAGACAGCTCAACTAACTTATACTCTCGTAGATAACTTCCTTTTTAGCTAAAAAGTATAGTTAGGGGAAAGTATTATAATCTTGGGCGAGTGCACCCTCCCTCTTGACGGCTCGCTTTTGTTGAACATTCTACGCGAGGGATACATATTATACATACTTACTTGATTCTCTATATAGTTTTTGCTATTGCTGCTATCAATACTATGAAATAGTAATCGTTTTCGGCGAGTTACCCCGCATAGTTCATGAGTTTTTTCCGTACGGAAAACTCAATTGTACGCTTGATACATTTTTTTTTTTCATTCTTTATCGTTTTTTTTATTCTGATTTTAATTTTTGATTTTGATTGACATCGCGTAGAAAGGCTCGACGATGGTCCAAATTCACAAAAAAACTAATATTTTTAACATGATTGTTGCGGGAAAATTGACAAAAATAAATGAACCTCAAAACGACAATTAAAATGACAGTTCAAGTCTTTATTGCTAGAGGGCGAGTTCCTTTCATCTGTAAACCTGCAAGAGGCAAAGTCAAAATAATTATATAAGTTGAACTTCAAGCTGCAGCTTAACTGTCCATAAGCGATTATTGGGTATTCAATTTGAAGCTTGATAAATATAGTGAAACTTGAATTTATTCATTTTCGAAATTACTATTCGTAAAACATTTCAGTAATACAGTGAAAAATGACGAATTTTAAGTATCATAGTTTCGAGGATCATAAAAATGTTCTTCACGATCTACTAAAAGTCAATCAGAAAGTGTCAACCGCAGTTCCATTCTATCCTTATTTTCTTACACCGCATACTTTTACTGCAGCCTAGATAGAGAATAAAAGCTCGCGAGACTCTCTCTTTCTCTCTCTCTCTCTCTCTCTCTCTCTCTTTCTCTCTCTCTCTCTCTGGACGGCCACTGGCAACATCAAACATTACGCTCTCTCTCTCTCTTCTCTCTCGTGTCGTACTCGTGCGCAAATTGCGGCACGATGAAATTTACATGATTCGTCTATACGCATATACTAGCGCGAGTGAACGACCGTAGGAGGAGGATAAGAGAGCGAGTGAGAGGAGAGCTTTGCCAGTGTGTAATTCGGCCCTTGTTGCTGCTACACGCGCGAGTATAAGGCAAAGAACAAACCGACATTTACGTAATGAAATTTGCGTTTCACACACACACACACGCGCGCCCAGTACTCAGTCGTTATTATCGAGCTCGTGTGCATATAGAGCTTCTCTGCAATTCTTCCGTCGATTTTGTCAGTTTATACACGAGTCTTGCCAAGTGCAATGAGCGCAGGTATGCGCACGTATGTACGTGTGCGTGTGTAAGCACATACAGTGTGAAAGTTCGGGGAGGCCCGACGTCGACGACGACGATGATAAAGAGAGCCGCTTGGAAACCAATATATAACGTATACTTAGGCGCCTCTGGAAAATAAACTACCGGGCGTTGCACTCCATGCGTGCGTATATACAACGATGGAGATTACACACTTTAGTTTAGCTCAGATGATTTGCACAGACTTAATTGAACTCTCGGCATTCGAGTATAGACACACGCCCACGTACACACGACTTTATAAATTTACATCCACGAGGGTGGTGCACACACACACACACACACACACACACACACACACACACATATACACATGTGGCATACGTTTACAAGTGTATGTGTGTAATATTTCGAACGATCGCAGCTATATTTGCCATGCGAGTCTTGCTAGATATATATTACTCATAGCACACGTGTATACGTATATATCATTAATTATATAGGCAGCTAAAGCAAACATCATTCCCAAGCAAGCAAGCTATACCGATTTTCCTATGAATATGTGTACAAGCCGTTTCGCACATAACACGTACGTATCGCGTGCGCATACATGTTATACATACGAGATGCGCCAGTGTATACGGTGTGTGTAACGATTTTCGGAGGACAAATTACAACGTCGCGCGTGTTACACGCGTAGCAGCAGTTGAGCTTGCAGCGAGTGTAGCGTGCTCTGTATTATTTCAAAGCTCAGGCACTAGTGACACGGATATCGCGTTTATTTATTGATTCTGCTCTGCGTCGCCGACCACGAAGATCTCCGTGTAACGGTATCTCGAACGTCGATAAACAAAATTTTATTTGGCTCATCTCGAGTGGTAATTATGAACAGATTGCGCTACAATAGCTTTTTTTCTTTCTGACAAATGAAGCAAAACTGTATTTTCGTCGGACTTGCACCCGAGTGACTCGTTCAACCACGTAAACGCCCATAAAAATCTTAATGATTATTTAGAGCCGATCCGGCATCCCGTTGGTGTATTTACGCAAGAATTCAATTAGCATTCTGATAACAACGAGTCGAGCTTCGCCGCCGCCACCACCACCCGCCGGGAGGAAAGCTGCGCGCGGAATATATATCGAAGCCCCAAGTGTAGTATATACAGTCGTACACTTGGTGTGGGCCCATTCTATTGTAATTATAATAACAACAGTTAATTAGAAACAAATACTAAAAGCTCGATACGTATATAGAGCTGCTGCTGCTGCACTATTTATACGTACGTGTATGTTCGTACGCGCTCGTTTACTTGTATACACGTGAGCAACAGAGAGTAGTTTATATTGTGATTGAAGCCGTTTGATTGCGCGGCAGGTTATCGCGCAGAACTCGACGTGTGTATAGTTTTGTAGAAGTGCCAGAGGTTGATGTTTAATATACGGCAGCTATACGTCATGATCGCGTTTATGCTGTACGTACCAACACATGTGTATGTGTGCGTTTGCAACTTAATTGACCGTGGAATCGAACGTTTAAAACCCCAGCCAAAGTTGCGAGGTGAAATCGAGCTTGAGGATAATCGTTGCTTGATACTTGAGAAATATAGATAAAAAGTTTCGAAACTATTTTCTTTTATTTTTATCTTGTATGCGTCGTTAATTTTATTTCATAATCACCACCTCCTTTTTGGCACTAGATTCATCGATAAATGCAGTTTTGCATTCAAGTTCTTTCGAATAGTTCACAAACGGAAAAAAAATCTCTCAGCGATGAGCATTTATCTATCGGAACAGATATCCCACACACTTGAAATATCTCACTTTACTCCACGGGCTCCATACGCACACGAGTGTTATCAATTGATCAAATTCCAGCGCGCGAAACTGTCTTTTTAACGGTCGATGAACTTATCTCGAGCTGCCCAAAGTATTTATTGATTTTTCCATCAGAACAGCTGCAGCCAGCCGTGAGCCGCTCGAGAGTTTCT